ACAAAAAACATTCCTTTCGATAACTTCATCATCAGGTTCTACAGTCATATATACATAATAGTGAATAAATTAGTGTCATTAACTACAATAGTGTTTCCACAACATCGAATCAAAAATAATATCAAAAGATTGCAGTTCAATAGCATTAACACAACAATACACTGAATATCAGAAAAGTTAGGGAAGATAATAATACAAATTCATGAATTTATAGTCTTTACTGAAGGCAAGGGCAGTAACAGTGACTGAACCTGCTCCTTTTGCACACAGGGTACCAGTAGTTTCACGCGTATCGCGATAGCCTCTGCTGTTTGGAGTATGCGGTACCTGGATGTTTTTGGCAATTTACTTGGTACCCGGTAGATGATAAAGAAGGATTCGTCAGTGCTGACTGGTTTTGTGGACGGTTTGGACCAGGTGGTCTAATATCGAACTGTTGATGGTTTTTACTACACCTTTACTTAGCCACACTGGTAGATGTTTCCGAGCATGAAAAATCAAGTTCCTAGAGCAACGGCCAATATAACTCGCTCCACAAGCGCGTCTGAATTGGCAGATACAGTTAGAATTGGCTAGTCTAGGTACTTCATCTATCAGTCGGGGAATCACCGTCGGTCGTGTAGAAAACATGACTTGCAGTTTGCCAGCATTGAGTCCTTTGAACAGATTTTCTTAAATTGTTAGTAATTATTTCACTAGGTGCGTCATCCTTGAATTGCAGTCGTATATATAAAGGCTTCTTATTTACAGATGGAGAAAAGTGCTTTACCGCTTTCTTGGTCATGTGTTTCGTGATGAAATTTTCTGAATAGCTATTTTCAATTACGGTGTCATGCAAAATCCTTAGTTCATCTTCAGTTACCTCTTCTGAGCATGTAGCCCTAACCCTGTGGCTGAGGGTACTTACAGCTCCCCCTTAGTCTTTCCTGGGCTACTGAAAAAGGACCACGTCATTTTGAGAAGGGTATTAAAGGTTATTGGTAGGGCAAGTAGTGTGCAACTTAGTCAGCTTGTCACTACATTAGTTGACAGACACCTAAACACATCCGAGAAACGGTCTAAATCTATATTGTCTGACCCTCAACACCCTCTCTATTCTCAACTCTCCCCTTGTATCTCATTTGGTAGAACTAGAATTCAGTACAAAAGATTATATGCTCTCTCGTACTACCAAGTATAGGAACTCAACGATACCCTATTTGACCCGTGTTCTATGCTATAGAGACAATGTAAAGTGTGAAACTTATGAATTACTATGTTGTTAGCAAAATAATTGGCTCTTTTATTACCTCTCACTTGTAATCTATGGTGACACTATCTCAATTAACTGACAACCTTAGCTACTTACCTTATTATTATTATTATTTACGACTTTTTGTTGTTGAATATATATGACTGTACTGTCACAACAAATGCCTAATAAGAAATGCCACCAATAATCCCCTAATATTATTCCTAAAATTGTTTTTAATGCTATTCGATAAAACTGACTGATAGTCTTAACCATTAACGTCATTATCATTGCTTTACAATTTGCTGTATGTTTATGATCTTACTGTCACTACTAGTACCAAATAAGAACAACCATTATCATTCCTGTAATATTTATTATCTTTAATTGTTTTTCATATTATTTCGACAAAATGAGATGCATTACTGTACCAAATGCTGAAATTTGCACACTGTAACATTAGTACTGTTTTGGAATAAGTCAAATTATTATTATTATTCATATACGTCACTTGTTTTTTAAATTTTAATCTTAGGCAAATCGATAATCAGTTAAAAATGATAACTAATCTACACAAAATGATGATAATTTAACCAACATTTAATAGGAGATTAAAGGATGATTTCTGTTTTTGTAACAGATGTTAAGAAAACCTAATTGGCTATGCCACAAGTGACTTGTTAAGTATTTTTATCACTTTATCAGCTGAACAGGTAACAGATTATACATTCTACTGAAGCGTACAATCTACATGTATCCTCATGAGTGAAATAAAACGCAAGGATGATGGTGATCGATGCGTACCATGTTCATCGGTGTCTGAAAGAAACACAGTCTGATTCCTTTTTCAATTATCTATGCTGTCAGTAAAATTTTTATTTACAGTAGCTAAAATTAAGCAGTGGTTGAATACAAGATACCTGTTTTAACAATTGAATTAGGCTGAAAACAATTTATTTATTTACTTTATGACGAAAAGTTTCTTGAAACTGGACTCTAAAAGCTATTAAAAGTTATCTGATTTCGCTAAATTAGATTCTCTTAGGCAAGTTTTTATTGTGTAGGCTTGTATAAATGATTCTTCCCTTGTCTTATTGATCAACTATGCAGGAGTAATAAAGATATGCTAGTAATGAATTAACTCACGTACCTTAGTGTTTATTAGCATGTGTTGTTCAAGCTACTAGTTACCTGTTTTATTTCTAGATACTATTAGTATATCCAATTGGTTAGACAGTTGTAGGAGTGCCTAAGCTTTTGGGCATACCGATGGTGAGCTCACTGTAATTTGGTGCAAAACATACCCCAGCGCTCAGCTCACATTTTAAGTGTAACAAACAAAGAGTACCAGTCTATAAGAATGGATTTTTTTTCTATTTAGTATGAATCATTTTGTCAGTATTTCTGTCAAAACTGTCATGTCAATACTAATAGTAGCGTTTGAACTCCAGTACATGCATTTACTTGTAAGTCGTACAGATAGTTTTAGTGCTGAATTCAGTGCTGTTTTTCAAAGACACAGATATCACCTTTTATCCTTTACAGTTTCTAAAAACCAATTCTCAGAAATGATGATTTCATTACTAATAAAATAATAATTAAAAGCACAGAATTCAGAAAAAAAACATTAAAATGTACTACTCAGTTTTACTTAGGCAGAAGTGAAAATGACACATTAGAAGGCTACTCAGTCACATTCAGACGAAATTTAACATTAGCTTACAAGTCACCATTCTGTATCCAATATTCAGGAAACAAGGCGATCTTTTAGTAGTAAACGAAGAGAAGATTTTCTTTCAGAGTTAACAGAAAAAAAGAATACACCGGGAAGGAAATGAGTATGTAATGCAGTAATTGATTTTCCTTAAAAAAAGGAGGAAATCGATATTTCGTGGATAATAGAAGAACAGAAGAAAAAAACAACAAATACTGACTAACTGTGAACAGACATGGATTTAAATGTACTCCTATAGCAAACTTTTGATGGAAAGTAACTCCTTTGAGGATATTTTCCAACTATTTCTTCTCGTTCTTCTTCCTGAATAATTAAATAATCATAAAAACTAACTGAAATAGTGTGATATAATGAGATTAGTGCAAAATTTACTTCAGGATTTCATTATCATATGTGTAGATATCAAAGTTACATATTTTTTGAAACTTTAATACAGAAACACGGTGAACAGAGTAAATCAAGCATTCAGGCAGGCTGTATAATAGGTCTTATGAGTATTTTCATTAGCTAAAGTAATTCTTTACTAAGACATTCGAGAAGCGAAATCTGGCTACTCATATATCATTTAGAATAAATTGAAGTCTGGCGCATTAATACGTTGATTTCAACCACTAAACTTTAAAAGATAAAGTGGTAGTCAGTGGTTTTCCTCTATGAGATTTGGATTCTTTTGACTGGGCTTGTAATACCAGTCGTGACATGTTGAAAGAGGCATATAGCGAAGAATAACATTGTTTTGAAGTCTACTAAGTGGACAAGAAGATGATTTACTTCATAGAAGTGAGTATAGGGAAACACTTTCAGCAGTATAATCACATTTATTCTCTATTTTTATATTTTGTGCTATTCTGAAGAGTGACAACTGGAATTGATATCCTTCTGTAAAGGTCTACTTTGATTCTTCATTCTATCAGATACAACCTATCTATTATCAAAAAATACGGTGTGCGTCTTGCAGCTAGAAGATCCGTTAAGACGATTGGTTAGAAAAGAAATTTGAATTCATTCATAATTCTTTGAGTGAAGTGTGATGCACCTGTATTTTCATAAAAATAGCGTATGAACAAATTACTTGGTGAACCGGAGTCAGCTACTGTAAGAAAGAAATCAGTTTGCAATTTAATGGGTATTTGTGAAGTGAGGTTCATTTTCAGAAACTCAAACGAAGGATAAGTTACCCAGTTTCGCTTAATCAATGCATATTTTTCAAATGAACTGTTCCCATGAAGGCAGTTATTCATGGCCATTTGGACTGACTGCATAACCAAAGCGTCAATAAATATCTTCTTTTATTGTGACTGGGTAAAGGATAATTAAGACATGCTGTAGTTAATAATGGTCACGAGAACACTGAAGTCTAATCAACACGTTCTGCCGTATTTTTCTAAACGGATATGTGTTTATCTATTCTTAATAGTTAAGGCTGTATGCACTTGAATCGTTATGCCTGCATTAGCCAGTAATCGAATTAACTAACTGACATTCCCCTTATAATTTTAATTTTTTGAAAAACAAATCCTGTGGTTACTATTTTTCACCATCAGTTTCTTATTTTCATTACATTTCATTTCAGACTTCATTTATTTACTTTTTTGGGAGTTGTTATTATGCTACTGTATTCCATTATGGATAAGATTTTATTTTGATAGATCACACAGTGTTGTGCAGTAATATTAACTGTATTGTTTGTTTTCTAAGCTATAATTGAGTGTCTGTTTGAACACCTGTTTTTATTACTATGCCATCTTTACTATTCTCATCCTCATACATATATATACATTTATTTATCATTACTGTTATTATTATCATAATAGCCTACTGTACAATTCTCGTCCATGTGGTCATTCTTATTATAATGACTGGTTTAATATCCAATATTTTTAGATAAAACTGTTTATCATAGAATAAAGCCTGAGATGATCTAACTGAAAACAATTCTGTTTGCCTATACTAGTATTTCTACATTCTTTCATTTTACATAACTTGAAAAGTGAACAAAGTTTTCTGTTTACCTATTTTAAAATACTAAAACAGATGCTGAGCGAAGAAATACCACTTCATAAGAATTTAATCAAATCTCCATTAAGCACTTCTCCTACTATCATAATGCATCCATACGATGAAAATCAATATAAGCAACTTTTTGCTTCTGGAAAAGTTAATAACTGCGACGAGCTTATGAAATGTGAATTGGATTTGTTTACTCGATTATTCCCGAATGTTTTCTGTCAAACAAGTGGAGAAAAATGTGGTGAAATAACCTCAGAATTACAAGGGCCTGATAAAGACCACTTAGAAGAGGATCAAGCAATTGAAGAAAACTTAAAGAAAATGAAAGATGTGCGATTTTGTCAAATTCTACGATTTGCTGAAAAGTATGGTTTTACTGAAGAAGGTAAATGTCATAAAGTTACTCAATTTCATAAATAATATTTTTACAAGTTTGAACAAATCTAATTCCTACAAGCCAACTCTTGAAAAATAAATAATATTACCAAGGATTTATTCTATTGTATTGCTAAAGTATAGCAACTTGTCAGCATAACATAAATTTTCTGTGATGGTACTTGTGTGTGACAACAGTCGAAAGTAAAGCTTAAAAAACTGTAATTCGGTAAATATAAATAAGTGAGCTCGTCAAAGTAAACAAAATCCTTCATTCTACGCAAATAATTCAACTCCTTTCCTTGGATAACTAAACCGTCAACTCTGAGAATTAAAATTCTGTAAAGTACTTTCTTGAGAAAAAAGAGATTTGAAGTGTCTGTGTACGACTTAGAAGCACTAAGAGTTCTATATTTATTCACTACCGACTTAAGGAAATAGAGGTGCTGCTTAGTGTTATAACTGCTCTCCCCTGTCCTGTATGACTCATTGTTCCATATATGGCTGAACAGTCATTCAATAACTGTATCAAACAATATACCAAGTCATATATGGATTTACATGTATTTTCTGAAAGTATGTGAGTAGCAAGATAGTCAGTCATCAAAATAAAGTACATGCTGCTTGTAGAAGACATCAGTAACCGATGGATTCCGATCACGTAAGCAGTTGTATTTGCATCATAAATTTTATTTTATTCAACCTTCTGAGAATCTACATATTTTTAAATGGCTATCACCTGCCTAACGAAAAGACCGCTAAAAATATAATTGAACTTGCTTTCTAGTCCTGTTTATCTAAATACTGTCATAATAACCATTATCTTCCTTAGATTGGAACTTTAATTCATTTTCTTTGAACTACTCATATTTTTCCAGAATTTAAGCATTACTTTAACAAACTTCAGTTAGAGGGCTTAGATGTGTGGAGAGTGTATTCAGCAGGAAAGAAATTCCGACAGTCTTTAGAAGTGATGCAGCCGCTAGGATTATCATGTGGAACACTAGCAGAAAATCCAGTCAACAATGTATTGGTTCAGTCATTTGGTGATGATTGTAACAAAGATAAAAATAATGATGATCAAATTACACCGAGAGTAATTCCACTCGATGATCCTTACCTACTGTATGAAAGTTTGTCAAACTTATTTATTAAAATTGAATACGAAATCAGTCAATTGTCAAAATCTTCCACAGAAAAAGAGGGCGGTCAAGAACAACAATCTTCTTCAACTGCATCCTTTTCAGTTAATTCTTCAATGTCTTCATTGTTTCCTAAGAGGCGTAGCCGGTCTGTTTCATCAGCATCTTCATCAGTAAACCAGAGATCTCCAACATCATCTAGACAGAGCAATAGTACTAGAACAAGTAAGAAATATAATATTACACAAGAGCCAATAATACTGTTGATATATTAATTATTATAACGAATTCTCAAGTATTGGTTTTGTAGGGATTTTGTTTGATTGCATGGAGGATTTCATCTTGAGCTGACAGCAGTTAGAGAACCACTGGAAAACCTGGTAGTACTGGACAGCTATTTCGTCTTAGTTTTGGACTCTTCATCAGTACGCACCCAAGGGTTTCGAACCCAGGACCTTCTGGTTACAAGGCGAGCTCGTAGACCAGAAGGTCCTGGTTTCGAATCCCGGTGGATTCGAACTGCTGAAGGGTCTCAAACTATGACGGATGAAACAGCTGTCCAGTACTCCCAGGTTTTCCAATGGTTCTCTAACTGATGTCAGCTCATAACGAATTCTATTGGAATATGGGTCTAAATTATAAGACTGTAAGATGAATGAGAAATAACAGTCTCTGCATTATTGGTATAAGTATAAAACTTGGGCACTGTGGTAGAGTATAACACCATTACTGATAAGATTTTATTTTGATAAATCACATAGTGTTGTACAGTAATATTTACTGATGACGTTTCGAGCACAATTTATTGCCCATAATCATATCAAGGTACTGACACAACTTTCTGGCTTCATTTACTCATGTATGTAAATGAAGCCAGAAAGTTGTGTCAGTACCTTGATATGATTATGAGCAATAAATTGTGCTCGAAACGTCATCAGTAAATATTACTGTACAACACTATGTGATTTTATCAAAATAAAATCTTATCCATAATGGAACAGTCTCTGCAGTATGATCAGCGTATTGTGATGCTGAACAGTTGTGTTGACCATCATAAAGTAGAAGTATTGGTTTAATTCGCTCATCCCATGTTATATTTAAATCTACTTATGAGTAGTATGAATTAAGTCCTAAGCTTGCTTTTATCCTGTTTTGGTCATTTCTCAAAGCCATATCAATCTCAAAATACAGAACCATCAGATATGCACGCCAAAACACCATCTGTGTTCCAGTCAAATATATAGTCTTCAAACGAAATTTTAATTTCATCTGCTGTTTTAAAACAAGCTTGCTGGAAAACGAGAAGGGTATTCAAGACTAAATATAAGTTCATCCTAATAAAAAATGTCCGCATGAGTTTCAGAATTAAGTGAAGCTATATTTCTGTAGCATAACAGATGGGTGATAAATTTCTAAGTACCAACCTGTCAGTTTGAAGAACTTCAGTAGTTCATTGTAGATATGCATACTGAGATGTGAGCCACACTCGACTGCATGAAAGCCTATAACAACAGCCTGTTAAGAGAACCGAAGAAGTTAAGTCGGCAGTTAAGTCCCAAGTGCATTACATGAAGGCTGAATATATAAGCCACTCATACAGTGGTTTACTCACACTTCAAGTAAGATGAATCTAATAGGCATTATCTGCCCAAGAGACCACATGCCAACAGAAACCCACCAATCTGGTTGAGGTGAATCGAGGACGGTAAGTTACAAGTGAGATGAATAATCCGAACGATACTCGTCGCAAATGGGGTAGCTCTTGGGTGTAACTGCTCTGATGGAACAATGGGTACTGGGTTTCATTCTTGATGTGATTGCGATCACTTGTTGGCAGGTAGATATATCTCGTCAAAAAACCTACAAATAAGCCCAAAATGCACCTGAATTTTACTTCTAAGCACCAAAATGTATCGAAAAAGGTGTATGTTGATGTTTGTTTGCTGACATTTCGATAGAAGATTTTTTTAGCTGAATATACTACATATGTTACCAAACTTTTAGCTTACTCAAACTCTATTTTACTATATAACTTGTCTCATAGTCACAAATTATGAGCTGTATAAAAACCAATGTGGAAGTGAATCTGTCCATTTGTTTGCGTTTTAGAAAGTGAATCACGTAAATCTCAAACGTCAGCTGAAACAGGCACTGAATCAAAGTCAACTACGGGTAGACGAAGTTCATCAGCAGTTCACTTTGATTTACCGTCAGCAAACAGTAAAGGCATAAATTGTGAAAACAGAGAAAAGAAGAATAGATTTAGCAAACTCACTTTGTTCGCTCAGGAGTTACAGGAGTTATTAAAACAACTGCAAGACAACAATCAGATAATAATGGTTTCTGGTAATGAGAAAGAGAAATTCAGTCCGATAGATTCATGCGCAACGTGCACTGTAATATCAGAGAACTTTGGCACACTGGTAGAAGAAGCAAGAAATATACATTTAAATGAGTGGTGTATAGAAGAGAGGTTAAGCCCGCATATACTACTCCAGGTAAGGGAACGTGAAAACAATTTTTTTCTCTCATCTGAACAAGTTAGAAGTTGTGGTTCGAATGGGTTACTATTTGGATTATTACTAATGTTACTAATGACAATAATAATTATTGTTATTACTATTAACATTATTACTATTATCCATTCCTTCCCTTCCGATTGGAACATATACCCTCAGTCACACATCTCTGTTGCGTTGAGTTCTTTGACATCACTTTCAATTGGCTCCACAAATGCCCACAAACTTTCTGTTCCTATGCACATAATTGTCTCCATGTCATCCTCAAACGCCTAATTCGTCCCTTCCCATTTGGTGCAGAAGGATGTCATTCAGCGGTCTAGTTAGTTTCTAGAGTTCCGTGTTGCTGATTCTTCCTAGACAGCCATTCAATCCTCAATTGTGAGAGGAAGCATCTAGTAATAAAAGTCTTCAACCTTTTGAGTATGCTTTTCGTGACGAATGCACCAAGTTCCTGAACAGTGGAAAAGCACTAACTTGACATCAATTTAGAAAAATTCGGATATTCTTAATTTTTAGGTCTCCATACTGATTTCACAATAATGAACATCTGTCTTGCTTTCTTCGCCCTGCCGTTGACATCCTCTTTTGAACACTAATACCTGAAAGCAGCTCTTAAAATATCATTTATAAGGATTAATTCAGGTTGCTTTAGCCATTCTGAAAAACCATAGTTTTTTGTAACTTTTTGAAAGTTACATCTCGTAACTTGACAAGTGGAATAAACTTTAATTAATTTCATCTTACTTTTGTAATTCTAGATTTGTTTACAGTGAATTTTCAAATTATTCACATAGTTGCTTCATGTTTCATTAATGCCAGTCATTTTATTTTGATACTTTTAAATACTGACTTTGAGCCTGACTAAGGTTAAGGCCGAAAACGTTTGCTGACATTTATAAAATGCTATACAAAAGCTAACTGACGAATTCCTAGACTGTTGGTAAGATTCTACTTTTTTTAATGACTTTAAAATTGATGAATAGCATTATAGACAAGTTGTATACGCGAAGACATCTCGTCTCATAGACATTCCAGAGAAACTCATAAAAATATATGCCTTTATTTCCTTTCAAATATTATTAGTTAATCTTACCTTGTTCTCTTACTTTCCAATGTCCTTATTTCGATTTTAGAAATAAGAATGTTTGAAAATCCGCGTTTCCTAGTGTACAGTAAACTCTTATTGTTCTAAACGTCTGAGATTTTAATTATGAAAACATAAACAAAAGGTTGAGTTATATTAGACAGTTTGTCGACTCACTCACAATTTATTGTTTCTCTATTATATTACACTGTTTTTTTAATTAAGTGCTATATATCTCCAAATTACTATTTTGATGCTTTAAAGAAATGTTCAAATATATCATTTTAGAGACTGCATTTCTTAAATTATGAAAGACCTCATTTGGATGTCTATAAACGTCGTCACGATGAAAGTTTATTGATTGTATCACATCATCCGTTTGACAGATCTATCCGTTCAAACCATCACACATGGTCTAGTTGGTTCCATGTTAACGGGATAGGCTTTCGACCATATCTACAGTTGATTGAATCACATATTAGAAACTGGACAAGAGAACAAGAGGCACTTTATGAAGCAGCTAAGCTAAGTGCTGAAATCTTACAAGATGATACAAGAGTAAGTTCTGATTCACCAACGTGTCTGGAAGAAGTAATTAACTTCAGAATACATTTTAACAATATCATTATTATAAATAAGAAAGTTTGACAAAGTGTTTTCTGAATTTATTCTTCTCTATATCTGTAAGTTACTATTTAGGGAGTTATCTTAAAATACCTTCATTTCGAATTATATTCAGAATTCGTCAACGATTTTCATTTTCAGAAAACAAGGTAGATACAAGTTAGCAATCCATTGTGACCTTTCACATAAAAAACAGGGAAATTAATTTCATTCCAAGTTAGAACTGAATACAAGCGACAGAGAGTTTGATTTTGCACTCAGTTTTGTCTGACAATGAATACGCATGCAACCGTAACATATGTGAATAATTGCCATGATAAGTAGCACACTACAAATTAAAGTGTTTTCTTTGTTACTGAAAGTAATTAATCTAGAGAAATATTCGCTTAAATGCAATACAGTTTCTCACTGGATTTTTTCGTCTCATTGTTATAATTTGATGAAATATATTAAATAAATTTCGTCTGCCTGGAAATGAAAAATAGTCGCCCGAAGGAAGCGGAGTGGACTCAGTAATGGAGGAGATCGTTGAAGAAGAGGAACAACTACATGGTGCAGGTGAAAAGTACAGCAGAAGACAAAGCAGTGGGACGTCAGTTGAAGCCCTATGTTCACTAGGAACCCAAGGGAACAATTATAATAATAAGATTATTTTCATTAAAACAACAATTTTTTCAATCAGTTAATCAGATCTAGTTTGGTTACTAATCTAACCAAGTCTGTATTGCATGCATGAACGAATGCATGTGCTAAATTACTGTTTCACCAAACGGCTATTTATTTCCACCTTCTTGATGAGTATGTGTACAGTCCGTTTGACTGCACACAATGAGTCTTCTTAGAACTGTCTATCTCCTTACTATAGATACTTAAAGATAATTTTGCAAAAGGGAAGAATAATCTCACTATAGGAATTATGAGTAACATTATGAGAATTTTTTTCAATTTAAAGGTTTGTTGAGAACTGACTGATGTTTAAAAATTATAACCCATCACATAAAGATATTGATCAAAGAACTATTGAGAACCAGAGAATACTGAGCAGCTCCTTTATTTTAGTTTGGTACTTAGAACGTTTTACAGCATTTAATTTCTTTCTGTGACGAGAAACAACTGTAACACTTTTAGGAATATTATAAGAATGTTTATAATAAGTTCACTATTCTAGAAATGTGAACCACTGTTTCAATAAACCATCCGATTACATACAAGGAAATGGTTGCACTTTAACGAAAGCCATAGGAATGAGAATACGCATAATTAGAATTAGCTGTTGGACATTTTGGATAAAAAAAACAGAATACTGAGTAGAATGAAGAAATAACAAGGACACAAATCTACAGTAAACTTAAGAACAGATTACGTCATTCAGGTGTTAGATTGCAGGGATTTAAATTGATTGGTTACATGATTTTATCTGAGCTGACATCGGTTAGGGAAACATTGGAAAACCTGGAAGTACTGGACAGCTGTTTCGTTTATCTATTTCGGGTTCGAACCCAGGACAGCTTCTCGCCCATGACACTGATTATTGATCGTGGTATATTGTGAGCTGGTAGAAGTTGGAATTCATAGGCCGTTGGATCGGGTCCCAGTGGCGTAATGGTCTGCGAGCACACCTTGTAACCGAAGGTACTGGGTTTGAACTCCTGTAGTGTATGCGTACTGACGAAGAACCCCAAACTAGGACGAAACAGCTGTTCAGTACTTCCAGGTTTTTCGGTGGTTCTCTAACTGATGTCGGCTCGTGATGAAATACTATAACCAGTATAACCATTATGTTTGCGTAATGCTCTGTTCCGCAGTATGATCACAGAAGTTAAAAGATTTTCGAAAACTGTAAGTATTTAATTGTAGTGGTCTATGTTGCGTTGGTTGATTTTGGTAGAAATATCAATTAAGTAGTGCCGATGTTAAACGTAGAATCCTAAGTAAGACATATAAGCCATTCGAGGAATCAGTGAAAATGATCGCCTTAGATGCGTGTTAAGCATATCTATCTGACATTTATCTCGATGTAGTATGATGACTAAAGAATAGTCTTTTGGGAAGAAAAGAACGTTGATGAAATTATCTCCTGGTACCAATCATCTAATATTGCTCTGATCTGTATGGGGAGATACAAGTTGCTTAACTAAGGTTCACGCAACTTCAAAGACCTTCGTCTCGTCATACTCCTCGTTACGATTTAGAACAAACCAAGGAAGCCTTCATAACTTACTCATTGTATTACATCATTCGTTTATTAACATCACTCTTACTGCATTAGTTTTGGTTCACTACGTAATTTCTGATGTATGACCATTCCCCTTTTACTGTGTCTCAACTGTTGGCAATATGGCCCATAATAATAGTTTTAATAAGTCCTGGTCTGATAATGATTAATTTTTTGTCTTTTTTAAAGGTAAAATGTTTATGAGTTTAACATAATGTTTTAAATTACAGCTTTTATATGTGTAGGTCAGCTCGTGCATAATAGTAATAACCTACTTAGTAGTGATTACGAGTACAACCAACAGCCTGTAGATTCAGTTTCTACTGAGTAATATAACATTCCTCTGTGAATATACATCTAATTATCATAACGCTATCTTTTCCGTCCTATGTATATACGTAGATTGATACTCCAGTTGGAGAGATCCAGTCAAAGACAGAGAAGAAGACATCTCCTAAATCTAAAAAAGTCAATAAATCAAAACGTACACGCTCTACCAGTGGGTCGGAATCTGATGCAAGCATTACACCTGGTGATGCAAAGTCCCTGTTGGGAGATCCTAACGAGTTTATCTTTCCTGGATCACTCAAAGCACTACAAAGAGAACAGGTACACGGTGATCTGTTTTATTTAGAATATTACTTTCCGAAATGCATTAGCATTGGAAGTTTGTTTATTTTAAGACAAACTTCAGTTAGTTTGATTAAAGTATATTTATTAACAATAATATCATTTGGAGAAACGATAAAAATCAGCCATAAAACTTTCTGCTCATGTTTTGTGGCTAAATTACTGACTCATGTCTGAGTGAAAAAATAGAGAATGATATCTTAGTTTATAATATCATTTTATTTGAAAATGTTTTGTATTGAATTTATGTTTAGTTTGTTCTCCGAAGTCCTTTCTTATGGGAAAAATAAAAACAGAGAGTTTTTCAAGTAATTTTTCAACATGGTTTGATATTACTTAGAGAAACAGAAAAAGTAGGATTATTGAAGAGTTATATACTTCTGGTTAATACGGTACGGTAAGCAGTTAGTTCATGAATTTTCATATATTGCTTTGTAGTTGTCGGTGGATCCAAAAAAGCATTTTTGATGAAGGCGAATCATTAACTGTCAAATTAAAAGACAGTTACTAGACAACCTTTTTCCAACTCTTTAATGTATACGTCTGATAACATTGACTTGATATTTGGAAAGACGTTACTATTGCTACTGTGAATGAAGATATGATCTGTTTGAGTTTTTGATTTATTAGTAACGGTTTTGTTGATATTTCAGTCCTACAAATTTGTGGGAGAAACAGTATTTCAGCTAGCAAACAAAGAAATGCGTCGTACCTTAAATAAACAATTTACACCAATATTCATTAACTTTCAATGAGACTCCTAAAAAACAACCGTTCATTCACCGTAGACAACCTGAAGAGAGTTGAATAGGTTACTGAAGCTTATTAACAACAGATTTAAAAAAATTCACTGTTATTCACTTGTTTTTCTGATGGCGTATATAAATTTAGTCACAAACACCCACTTGTTTGTACTGGACTCTGTAGCTGTCCTCACCATACATATACTCTATGATAATAGTCTTTTAATTTATGCTACTTTTTCAAAACTTCACTACTTGTGTCAGTCCTCTAGCTTGAGTCATTCTGTGGAGATATTATGACTCAATAGTACTTTTTATAAGGAGGTCCCTTCAGTCGAATCATTATCCGTCTTCATATAACATACGATACCTATAGTATTTTCATAGTAAGCATTGTTTTATATGTATTACTTTTCCTCGATGTTGTTGTCATTGCAATGCATTATAAAATACACATTTTGTCTAATATCCTTAAAGTGAATGATAATAATTGTATCTATGTAGACTTATGTATGTAAATGCGACTGTGCAGCTTTTGAGAATGAAGTCGCCAAAAAGATATCTTAGCTGAACCTTTTGTTCTTTTCTCTGCAATGTCCTGATGGGTAATTTCCATGATTTCAATGATGATTCTCAAAGTATAGAGAAATTATTAATTTCCGTAATATAATCAATGAATGAATGGTAACATGCACAAGAATCACCAGACTGAGTTTCATGCAAGTAATATAAAAAATTCTATTAAGAAAACATAGAATCCCAAACTAGGACGAAATTGTTACCCAGTAATCCCAGGTTTTCCAATGGTTCTCTAACCGATATCAGCTCATAATGAAATCCTGTGACCAAACAAATCCCCGCAAACCAACAGTTGGATATCACTTTGATGCGCACTGGCTACTGGCCCTACTGAGGTAGGTAGTTACTTGGGTTCCAGTGAGAAGTTGTTCCCCATAGAGTAAAGCAGATCGGGTGTGAGGACAAATACTCGTCAATGACATTAGCTAGTTGTCGCGCTATGTCGTGAATCGGCAGAGGCTGAAATTCATGGGGTGGTCAGTGGATCGGGTCCTAGTGGCTAATTGGTCCTCGAGTTCGCCTTATAACTGGAAGGTACTGTATTCAAACTGCTGTGGGGGGTGCGTGCTGGTGAATAGTTCCACAATAAGACGAAACGGTTGTCCAGTACTCCCAAGTTTTTTAATGGTTCTTTAACCGATGTCAGCTCATGATGAAATCCTCTAAAAAAATTAATTTATTGACTGCCATTCTAATTCAAGTTAATTACTATAGGCTTCATAAAATTTCTTAGATTAGCTTATAGGGCGGATAAAAACATTTCACGATGTATCTTGTCATTATTTATCGGATGAATTCCATCGTCTGACTGACGTTTTGTTACACTATTATTTCATTAAACATTAGTGCTTATTTTAAAAGAATTGTTCTTTTCTACCGTGCAAAAAAGGAACTTATAAAGCTGAAAAAAGAAACTGAAGAACGTCAGAAAGAAGAAAAACGCATTAAGTCAGCTAAAAAACGGACAGAGAAAGAAGCTACTCAAACACAGAAAAAGGAATCATCAGGAAAACGTAATAAATCACCTAGCCCGAAGTCACCAATACAGAAGAGTAACACAGATGATGATACAAATCAAGTAGAACATCTAAAGCCTAGACAAAGTGATTCTGAATTTTGGCCAGTAAGTAGACCATATATTGAATTGATGTATTCTGTAGGTTAATTGTCAAACATGTTTCAAAATTGGAAACTATAAACCTCTTCTGCTATTTGATAGAAAATAATACCAATAATCAGTAGATTTATGAAACGTAAAGAAAATTAGCCTCAGTAATTTGGGGGTAAACAGGCTTGAGCAGAATGAAGGTGTGTGCATCATATCTTCAGTTTACAAAAGGTTCTCGAATATTGGCATACTCAACCTTATCCAAAATTTTTCATATTTCCTGACTTCTACCTACTTATATCACTTTGGGTATAACATGTTGCCAACTTCATTTAATTTCATAAATGAATGCAGATGGTTCTGTTCGACTTGAACGTCCCTCTATCTCAACAGAAGAGCTTATTGACTCAGATTACACAGACGTTATAAATATTTTGAATAAAGAGTTAACTAAATTTAAGCTCTTTAGCACAGCTCTGAAGGTGTTTTTGGAGAGAACATCAAGGCTTCAGTATGTTATGTAGTGTAACTTTTTCCTCTCTTCTTTTTTATTCTGTGTGTAACTTTTAATGTGTGCCAAAGTGAAATGCTACACTTGTGCTCAATGTTCTACTGTTCATTTGGTAACTTAATTGGTTAGTCACTGACAGTACTAAAATGAGCCTTAGGAACCCCAAAGCCAGAGAATAACTTACACAATTTTGCAGTTTTCTGTTAAATTTCTAGCCACTGAGTGTTCAGTTGAAAGTCAGTTATGTGTGACAGAAAGGTAGCAGAAGATGTCAACATTGAGTTTCTTCTAAATGAACTGCGTATTGCGTGACTGTCGCCTCGTATTATTGTCAAGATTTATTCATTAGAAAACATTTTTTATTGTTAATTGTGATAAGTTTAGTTGACAGAGTTATCCTTCCATGAATCTATTGTTTATATTATCTTGATCATAGTTAAGACAGGTGAATGTCTACTGATAATTTTTACTGAACTGTCCAGATAGATGAGTATCACATTTAGAAACCTATCCTGCAAATTTTGAAAGTAAACAACTCAGTTAAGCAGAATGTGAAGTTAAGGTAACTGGGAAAAATGATACCACAGAAGATTACTTCTGATCTATTAAACTTATCTAGCATATACTCAGGTAAAATCTAAGTGGTAAAACTGTTGAGTTTTTATTGGGGTCGCGCTAAATCACGAATTGGTAGAAGTTAGAATTCATAAGCCATTGAATCGGGTCCCAGTGGCTAAATGGTATACGAGCTTGCCTTGTAACCGGAAGGTCCTGGGTTCGTATCCCAGTGGGTGCGTACAGCCGATGATTCTCGAACTAGGATGAAACAGCAGCTGTCCAGTATTCCCTGGTTTTCATGGTTCTCTAACTGATATCAATCCGTGATCAACTCGAAAACATTTATCAGTAATATTTTTAAAACAAACACAGTAATGATATACATATTATTATAATACTTATTCCCCTTTAGTTTATAGGCTATGATATTTCCAACATATTGCCACATTTAACCGGAGAAGTGACTCATATGTTCCCCACGGATGGTGGTACAATAAAAACGCAAAGAAGTGAAATACCAACAGGTAAAAGATAAAGTCTAACGTGTTCATGACTGTTTCATTGAATTCTATGTGAAATATGATAACTAGTATTGAATAAGCCATCCCTTATTTTTATCTATGCCCGACTGAGATATCTGTGAGAAAACCAGGTTGATCAACAACTTTTATGAGCTTGATCATACTCACAATAGTCAGATGAAAGTGCTAACGATATAATTTAGGTTAAGCATTGTTCATTCATTATATGTTGAATTACAGTTGATAGACAGCAAATCAAGCATTTGTTGGAACTCACTGTAACTGACTTTATGTCAGTCATTAATCAGAATTGAAAAGAACCTGAGTTGTCAAGTATTTGGAAAAGTTATTGGTTTTCAAGATGAGCTGTTGAAAAGTCCCAGCCTTGGATGAAAAATCTACTAATGGAGCTCATGGTGAAATCCTATGCAATTCTCTAAATGATCTCAGTTTTTAATGAAATCTATCCTGGTGCCTTGTCATACAGTTTACTTAAATATAAGATGAATGAATCTTTTGATCAATGGTTTTGCGTTATTCGGGTAATTGTATCTTTTTACAGGGTTTAAGCTCTTTGTCATTCTATATCAATAAAGCCAAGTTAAGAATTGATTTTTCCCTAACGAAACTATTAAAATAATACTTCTTAGATAATGTCAATTGAAATGTTTAGGCTTCATATTAATTCCATTTCCAGTTATTTTAGAATTATTGTCGAATGTATAAAGACAACGAACAGAGAAATACAGTCACCTTTTTCGGCCATTCTTCTGCATCATATCTAGTATAATCGAAACTTCTCTATGCCTGAAAATATTACAGGTGTAACAACAGAAGACAAGAGCCAGGCAACAGAACGTTTATTACGGAAAATCAACACATATTTATAGATTTTGATGTACATTATTGTAGGTTAATGTTAGTAGAAAATACAGTCTGTTGATTAGTTGTTTCTCACACAAAGTTAACCTTGCATCTCTTGTGGCTGTGTCAGTTCATCTATATGTTAACTGTATCCGCCTGTCCATCTTGACCTTGTTTTCACATGACTAACATTGACCTCAATTACTGTCAACCAATTTGGCTAGCAACCATCTCTCACCACACAGGTAGTTCTCAAAACCAAAATGGGAACATAAGTGTTCTAAGGGAGGAGTTATTAAAGAACACAAGACTGATTTCGTTATGAAGCAACATCACTTAAAAAGATACTAGCTTGAAATTGTTCAGTAACCCTCAAATTCTGTCACATCAGGGAACCACGCAGGACCTCTAGATTAAGGGACTAATATCCTAGCCATCCAGTCACTGATTTGGGAACGATTAGACCATGAATTCAGACTTCTATCATTTTATGATTCAGAATCAATTACAACATGTTATTAGTGTCTGTCGTAACACGTCTATTGAATAGACCCCGTCGGCCACAAATTTTAATCAAAATTGCTAGAAATCCCGTATGAAGTTAATACGGTGAAGGCGTTTCTCAGTCAGTGACATCTGATTACAATGGTGCTATATGATGAACCCAGTGATCTGAAGATTGGATTATAAGCCTGAAATGGTGCTACCACCTACTGTTGATCAGGATTAAACTTATACAAAATAGGTTTCTAGATATTTATAGTTTTGAGCTGAGCAATCAAATCCTTTCAAACACAACATTCAGACGTGTTTTTTGTTTATTCCTAGTCTGTTTTCGTTCTCATGGACAAAAACTGTAGTTATTCATAATTTTATTTTTTTAGGTGGATCAAACTTGCGGGTTAGTCTTATGAAAGACGGTCATGTGTTCACAATCCACAAGGCTGATGGTCCACCAGAGCCGAACATTCCTTATAAAAAATCAAATGAAACTGACTTTGTCGGTGAAGAAAACGAGGTATTCAGTAGATGGGATATTTTTTAAATGTCTTTATGTCACATTGAGAATGCAATTTACCTATAAAATAATCATTTAAGTTGAATAATCTGTCTTTAAATTTGACTAAAATTCTTTTTTAGTCATGAAACCATAGGTATGTTATTTTGAACATTTACGAACTAGGATGAAACAGCAGCTGTCCAGTACTCCCTGGTTTTCAAACATTTACGTAAACAGTTCTTATTTTTACCTAGTAGAATATTTCTTTTCTCGCTTAGTTTTGAGTATCCCTGATTTCAGCAAAGATAATCGTAAAATATAAAAATTATTGGTCACTATAAGCACTGGACTTGTAGTGGCTTTTATTTTTAACAGTTTGAATGCTACAGTGATATGTTTTGGTTTCCAAGATATGACAAGTTATAACTTCTCACAATGGATAGAAATGAAATTACATGATTTAAACTTTAACTTGATTCACTTCCGCTTTTATGGCAAGTAAATTCTCACAATTCATACTTTCGGAGTACTTTTACAACATCACATTGAAAAACATAGTATTTCCCTCTACCAAATACTTTTTAGACAATACTATAATCTGCCAAATTAACAGAATATATTTTCAAGAGTTAATTTGTGGGGATTTGATTTGTACGGAGTTTGATCACCATTGAAAACCAGGGAGTACCGGACGTCTGTTTCGTCTTAGTGTGGGATGTGGTCATGGATGCATACCGATTAAGAGTTTGAAACTAGGACGAGACAGCTGTTCAAGTTTTCAGTGGTCCTCCAACTGACAGCAGTTCGTCAACATACTTAACAGTTAAGTTCATGTGCAGGAATGTTATTTCTACCTACATTACCATTTGTTTCTCAATGCAATATATAAATTTTTATTTTATTGAGGATATCCCTCTTCATAATACACAAGACGTTTTTAAGGTCTGATTAAGTTCTGTATAAAATATAGATATGATAGCGTCCGATTTAAGGAGTCACTATTTCTATTTCTGTCTAAACTTATCTTTAGAGTGCTGCAAATCAATTCAAATCAAATGACATCATACAAGAAGACTGTCATGATCATGATGCTACGAAGAATCCTGTATTACCAGAGTTATTTAGTTCAGTTACTGCCTGCTTTTCTGATGGTATTTGCCTTGCTGTATGTAGAATGAACAATATGGCTTCGGTGAGTGCTTACTTTTAGTTAGTTAACATTATTTTATTATAATAAACTGATGGTTAATACCGTACAAGCTGTTTTAAAAGTAATCAGCTCACCGATTATCAGCGTACAAACTAGGATTACTGTATAGAATGTCTGGCTTCCACATTTCTTAACCAAACATTCAATAGAAGACAATAATGAAAGAAGACACCATTACCAAATTAAAATCATATGGACTCTTTAGCAGCCAGGCAATTAAGATGAGGAAAGTAAAGTAAGAAACAAAGTAAAGGAACGGAATGTTGCAGTTATGATGAAAATAAGGTAAACGAGTACACATGTATATATCTGTTATATTTAACTGCAAATATAAGTAGATTGTTTCCTGCAATCCTAGTCGAAAATCTCTTAGCCCTCCTCACACCGAACTGAAGTTTCTAAAGCAGTTCGTTTGGCTAACTAAATCAGGATACTACTAACAGTCATCCTAAAAATTATTTTCAAACAAAAGATAGTCCCCTTTATGAATTTCGACATGACATTAAGAAGACGATATTTTTCTGAAACGTGTAATGCATTTGCGCAACACATTTCAAACATTCTGATCACACACCTACTGCTTATACATATTTGTATAAAAGGCAATAGAGCATGGAGGATAACAATTGTTATCAATATTTGTCAAAATGTTTACGGGTCATGATCGCTGACTGATAAGACGTGGGAAGATGAGGTATGAAAACCAGAGGGTGAAAATATCATTCAGTAAAATAAATCTTGGTTCTAAAATTGGATTACCTAGTCACGTTCATTGTAATGACCAATAATTTTAAACACATAAACCGGGTTTAAGCCTCATTGTGTCTGAGGATTCAATGAATTTAGGTATATAACCCAAACCTGCTTTATATACCGATTTAAAGGCCCCACTAAGATCAAATCTGTGACTCAGCTCTGTGATGTGCTTTGTAATAGATAACAACGGACTGTGTTTCCAGGGTTAGTTGGATCAAGAGATTTTATTTGTCCATGGAGCCACTTAGGAATATGTTGTGTGGCCCTAACCTACGGTGACTGATGGGTTCTCTCTATGAACATGTGACCACACACATACACATAAATCAGCAATCACAGTGGAATGTGACACGATCGTTCAGATTCTGTGAGTGGTTGGGAGATAACATAAATTTTGTTTTCTCTATGAAAATGAGTTTAACTGCATAGTGAGTCCTGTTTGTTACAAGTGAGTCATCGTTTAGTGATCAGACTTTGGTGATCACTGATTTGGTGGAGCCCTTTGTTTACTGGTTCTGATTCAGTTAATACTTGGCAGATATTTATATAGTTGTAAATATGCATCTTCAGTAGTCTGTGAAGAGAACATAAAATCTACAAGTATTTGTTTTTTTTAAAGGGCTGAAACTATCTGATGTAGACAGTTATACAGTTGTGATGACATAATACTGAAGTTAGTTTTAGCATACTTATCAGTATATGCTAATTTCCACCTGTTTTTATATCTTTCCTATCATAATATTTCTTAACGTCGTAAACATTTGGTTGTAGAACTCTCAGACACAGCTAGACCACATCAATCTGCAGTGCAAAACTAATAATATCAACAATAATTCGAATATTCCCGTGAACAGTATTCCTGTTAACATTAACAACAAAGTTGGTCCTATTCACATAGAAGAATGTGGGGAAAATATACAGACGAATCAGTTTAAACAATTCATCCATCTTTCTACACCGGACGGGGCGCAGATATCTGTATATCATGATGTCAGTAAGTGATGTGTTTACGATTTTTTTTATTATTCATTCAATAATAATTTGTGAAAAGAATCACTATTAGGATGTGATCTAACCATCAAAGTGAACTAAGAAATAATACCAAAGATAGATTAATTCTAGGAGTAATTAGTAGCTTTAGTGTGATTCCTGAAGAATTGCTTACAGTAAAACGACACTAATTACAACATCATTATTATGATATTATTATACCTTTGGGTTCCAAGTAGAACATGGGGCTTCAACGGCACATTTCTGTTTTATCCTGTTCTCTGTAATCCTCTTTAGCTGGCTTCGCGACTGCCCATAAGCTTTCATCTCCTCTTCACACGATCTTCTCCATATCACCCTTGGACGCGCAACTCGTCCTTTTCCATCCAGGCCCCACTCGAGGGCCAGTACTGCACGTGAGTTCGCTCAACGGTCTCATCAGCAGGTGCCTTATCCATCTCCATTTTCTTCGGCATACTTGTTGAGCAACAGATTCTTGATTTGTCCGTTCCCAGAGTTCCTTGCCACTAATTCTTTCTGGCCAACTGATCTTCAGTATGAAGCTAATGCAGGCAGCTGCTTGTAAAAGCTTGCCTGTTGGAAATGCTTTCCGAGATGCGCCAAGTTTCTGACCCATGTAGGATTGACTCAACATTCGTGTTGAAAATCCGAATTTTGTTGTTTATGCTGAGTGCAGTGGATTGCCAAACTGACTTCAAAGTGATGAAGGTCTTCTTTGTCTTTCATATCCTGGTTTCGAAAACCCCATCTGTTCCGCCTGTAGTTGAAACAATGCTGTCCAGATAAGTGAAGGAACTGACTTCTTTCAGATTTCTCCCGTTGACAGTGATTAGTCTGTTGGTTATCTTCCTCACCATCGCAGAATAAATTTGTTTGATAAAAGCATACAGTGATACAGCATTATTTACTGATGAAGTCCTGATCACAATTTACCTCTCATAATCATACCAAGGCACTGACATAACTTTCATATTTCGTTTATATATTTCCACTGTTTCGGACCGCTTTACCAAAGTCTTCAGAAACTCATATTTGTTGTATGAAAATTTACTAAAACCCCTGGTTAACTAGCCTAACTGTACACGGATTGTCTCATAGGACATTTTTTATTTTACTTTTAAAGAGAACTTGTGGAATAGAAAAAGATATTGAAAACTCAAGCATGAATTAATTCTAGAACTAGCTGTACATCAATATCAAGTTTTCAAGGTTTTCTTAATAAGGATTGACATGTCAGAAGAGGTCAAGCACTTAGCTGTAATGAAATCAACCAGCAGGGAATTTAAATGTTTCAATAAATTCTACGTTGGTTGAGTAGACGAAAATTTATTAAGCTGACTAGCTATAGATTTCAGTAATATTCTATGCGAATGGATTGCATAGTCTATCTTTTCTCTTAACGTAAAATGGACCTACTAGATTGTGTAGTTAAAATAATCACGTTTGGAATTTTATTTTGATTAAGACTTTCATAGTAACGGTTGAAATGACTGATTGACGGTATAAGACATGTTGTCTAGGACTGAAGGTAAGCGACATTTTGCTGGACAATTGAATACTTCTGAATTAAAGTGTCCAAATACAAGTTTACTCACATTCCCATCTCTTTCGAATGACTTAGCAAAATGACCTATACCTTCAACCAACAAATAACATAACACAAAGTAACTTCTCCTACAGCTTCTACAGTTTTATTTTAATCCTAGTTAGGGAATAACTGTGTGTTCACAACAGCAGTGTTTTCATAACATCGAATCTTCGAGATCGAAGTACAGTAGAGTGTCTCCATAGCAACGATTAACCAAATAACATCCAGCAACTTTAGACAGCTGAGATTGTGTACCGGCTACTTGGGGGCATTTAGAAGCACACAGTCAGTTTCAGTGAGTAAATATTCAGACACTATCTCAGATTTCAAGTCTAACTTCTAAAAGGGTCTTCATACAGTGTGTTTAGGATCCAGAGATGAAAATAAATTGACTTACTAATGAAAAAACAGACGGTTGCGTTTTGAATGTTAAAGAACATATTGAAGCTTCCTATCACTAAAGCTTTTATATTTACTTCCAATAGTCACGAAACCTGAGTGAATAAGTTTTACAGACAGTGAGCAAGTCCAATACGTCTAATGTCAAAATGGTTATTCAATCAGTATTAGTAAATAGCAGTCAAATAGGGGAACTCTGTCAAATTGACCAAATCCATTATTTATATGCGGATACACCACACAGCTGAAATAGTAATAAAAGACTTTTGACCAACTGACTAAATGACTAATTTACCAGATCCAGATTTGCATCAGTACAACACATTTGGAGGATTACAGAAAACAGGAAAATAAAAAATAATAAAGCCATACTGAAATGTTGGGTGAAAGTGCCAAAGTTTATACCACATCTTATTCTCATTGGTTATTATCTGAGAAGTAACAAAGAAACTCATCAACTCTGAAAAATATTATCATTGTTGTCACTTTGAATGATTAGGCTGTTAAAGACAATCAATATATCTAAAACAGACGGTAGAAACAGAAAAACCGGAAATGTGGTCTTCATGTGACATGAAGACGAACAGTTCAAGCGGAATTCAGTGGTTAAAATTATTTTTGACTTGCAAAACAAGATGATAACAAAGTGAGCTATAAAAAGAATGCTTCAATCACTAACTGGCACAAGAATTGAGTCAGATATTTTTAAATTCACTTAAAAAGCAGATTGTGGGTTTTTCGTTTATTTTCAACACTCCACTTAATGAACTGAAATCATGCATGCCGATAAACAACGTACTTTTTTATATATGCAGTGACAAACTAATCAAACAATTAAACAATTTCAGTGATTTAGACAGAAGGAACATAGTGTACAGGTTTTTAGAATTTTCTATTAATACTTTTGATATATGAATTTCGTTAGTGTCTTTTTGATGCATAATTTTCCTTGTTGTAGGCGAAGATTCGGATCCAGTTGCTGAAGAAAGTAAGAAAGAAGGAAAGGAGGTTGGTAACACTCAAGACGATGAATGTACAGTCAATGATGAACAAAATAATTCATCCTCAAAATCTTTTCATGGGACGCTTTTAAAGTTATTGTCATCCATTAATTCGAATCCTAATACTATTAACAGTGATGGCACGTACATGAACTCTTCAAAAATGAAATCAGATAAAGAATATGAACTGACACGTTTTATCACATCAGATGGCATAGTGATACAAGTCTTGATGCCCGGTTGTACATCATCTGCTTCAACAGCATTAAAAGTTAGTAATTTAAGTTTCAACATAAGACTTACTTTGTTCTTATTACCAAACAACGCTATGTATAAACAATGAGGCGTAACTGTTTTACCGCCTACCTTACTTATCATTCAAAAGAACTTATATTTGGACATAAAATGGCAGTAAATGTTTGATTTGTGTCCACATATTACTTGATAATATGTTTCGAACAGTCTGTGAGAAGTCATAGATTTAAGTTTTTCGTTTATTACAACTCATCAGGAAGGCGATATTGAAATAACTGAGAGGTTGGAACCTGCGTCACCCCATAAGCTATTGTCAGAGATGTAACCACTGAGTTATTCGGATTCACTATTGATTCCTCTTAGGACTGGAGTGTTTACACTGACTGGTGATCAGGTAGTAACCAGTATCATGTATCTAGTCTTATAGGTCTATCATATATTAATTATATTATATTATTATTGTTTCCTTTAATTCCTACAGGAACATAGGGCTTCAGCCGTGCGTCTCCATTGCGTTCTGTTCTCTGCTAGAGTATTCACCTGGCTCCAAGTCTGCCCACACGCTTTCATCTCCTCTTCACATCACCTCCTCCAAGTCACCCTTGCACTGACGACCAACTCGCCGCTTCCCTTTCGGGTTCCACTCGAGCAATGGCTTGTCTAGTGATGTCACTTGATGGTTTCCTCAGAGTATGGCCAATCCATCTCCATTTCCTCCTGCCTATTTGTTTCACAATCGGTTCCTGGTTGGTTCGCTCCCAGAGATCTCTGTTGCTGATCTTTTCTGGCCATCTGATCTTGAGTATTGAGCGAAGACAACTGTTAATGAAGGTCTGTAGTTTGTTTGAGATGCTTTTTATGACGCTAGTGCAAGTCTCTGATCCGTATAGTAGTAGCACTGACTTCACATTGGAGTTGAAAATCCGGATCTTATTTTTGATGCTGAGTGTTGTTGACCTCCACACAGACTTGAGAGTAGTGAAAGCTTGTCTTGCTTTTCCGATCCTTGCTTCGATATCCTCGTCAGTTCCGCCTGCCTGTAGTTGAAACGATGCTTCCCAGGTAGGTAAAAGAGGTTGTTTCTTTCAGGTTCCTTCCATTTATGCTGATTGTTGTCTGTTGTTGTTGTTGCTGTTGGTGGTGTTGCCCAGGAATCTTCATCACCTCTGTTTTCTCTATGTTCACCTGAATGTCCTATCTTTGATGCTTCTTCTGCCAACTTGTTGCTTTTCGATTGCATATCTTCCAGTTTGTGGGAAATCAGACATATATCATCGGCGAAGTCCAGATCCTCCAAGTTTTTGTGTGAGTCCATTTTATGCCTGTTTCCTCATTGCCCGCTGTTTGTCGCATTATCCAATCTTCTGCAATCACTGGTTTAATTTGTGTCGAACTTTTGCCCGATAGGTACCTAGTTGTTTGGTAGAGTGTTGCGAGGTCTCCTTTGCCTGCAGCTTGTTCTGCTTCACTTGCCATGGCTTCGTAATACTTTCTTTTGTCTTCTCTGGCACTCTTCTTTACTCTTTTGTTCAGTGTCTTGTAGCTTGAGTTCAAATCCTGTTTTTGTTGCTCATCGGTGCACTGGATAATCTTTTGTTTCACCATCCCTCTCTCTTCTATTAGTCTCCAAGTGTCCGTAGTGAGCCACTGTTTGTCCTGTCTCTTCTTTCTGCCTAGAACTTCCATGCAGGTTTGACTCCACACTGTTTTCAAGTTTTTCCAGTGCTTTTCGACGCTGACCTCTTCGCTAGTGTTGATTTGTGTCTCGGCTTTGTCCTTTATGCTTGCAGTGAAGATGTCCTTTGTGTCCTGGTCCTTCAGTTTTTGGGTGTTGAACTTGGCTTGTGGTCTATCTGCAGCTCCTGTTTCTCTGAAAGCTTTTAATTTGATTTGGATTGTCCCTTGTACGAGATAGTGGTCTGAGCCAACGTCTGCTCCTCTTCTTACTTTTGTGTCGAGTAGACTGCGCCTCCATTTCCTTGAGATTGAGATGAAGTCAATTTGGTTTTTGGTTCGCCCATCTGGTGACACCCATGTAGCCATATATTAATTACTTCGCAGTTAACATAAATAAATTTGGTTAATAGGTATGAATCTCATACACTGGCACATCATCTGAAATTATCGTATATTGTTTTAGTACGAGTTTCACTTTGTCTATCAAGGTTTACCACCACTAGGCTCTAGTAGATGTCACTGATAAAAGTGTTTTGTTTCCGTGTCGATGTAAGTTCCGTTAAGCACTGAACAGAATTTTAGCTACTGAAAGTCAGAATAACACTAAGTAGCTGCTTTTGGAAGCAATGAAATGTTTATCAGTGTAACTTAGAAATTCCATCTATGATACAGTCTAGGAACATTTGCTCTCAAAAGTCTCTATAGTCAGCAGTTAACAACTTAAAGACCTATATTTTATCGACCCATTCAATTCTTAGGATAAGTCTATTTTTGATAAGATGTAATAAATGTATATAGATTTCTCCATGTTTCATAGCTGAATGTTGCGCGAACTATAAAATGTAGGGAGAAATATGACGGTAAAGCAATACAAACATAGGAATCAGTGGTTGTCAGTGCTGGTCCTTATAAGTAAAAACATTTGCAGTGACGCAAATCTATCTATCTGTTATTTTTCACTAGTCAGTGTTTATTTCTAAGTCCTTAAGAGTTTTACTAATATCTGTTGAACAAAACCTACGCTTGTTGACAAAATTCAGCATGCCTACAACATCACCTATTGAGTGTTTTCCAACCTAACTTAAAGTGTCGAAAAACTACAGAATAAATATCTATAACATTTGAACAAATACCTTAGGGCTGTTAAAATAATTGCATTGGTACAATGACTAATACGAAACAAAAATAGGAAACATAAGTCAATAATCATGAGACTTTTCAGGTAACAGTATAACAGAATTTTTTTTAAAAACGTTTTCACCTCACAACCTTGAATCGTTCCTACTCTAGAAAACCTGAATAACAATCAGCAAAAAATAAATCTGGAAGAAATATAACATAGAAGGATCTTTTCTACACAAGAAAACAGGAATGCTTCATACATTTATTTATTTGTATCATTATTTCAATTTTAATATTTTGAAACTTTTAATTGCTGTTTAGACTTAAACATTTGAATTTATAAAATGTGACTCATACACATTTCTTATTTTTCCTACCAGTTATATTTTCTCTACGTTCTTGGGTGTATCAGATGACAGATAATTTAGATAAACATGAAAATTCTTAATTATGTTTGCACCACTAGTCAAGTGTTTTGCGCGGCTATAAACTACCATATTCAATCTGTTTAAATACACCCAAGCTGGGGTTATCAGCAGACACATGAACGTAAATAAAGGATCTACTTTCTACTTTTCTGGCAATTTCTTTGAAGTGTCTGCATATTGTTTGGAAGTGACACTTAAGCAAAGACATCAAAGCTAAGTATAGTGCGAATTTTTCATGAAATAAAATTTTGGAAAATTATCTCACATGAGCTTGGAAGATTAATTAACTGTTACAAGTCACTTACTCTAGGAGGAATCTTCTGTGATAAAGTGATATTAAGCTTTGGTTAGTATCTGTATCTCATAGCTCCCTCGGCTGACCAACAGACTGGTAATCTGCAACTGATTCAAATTTATTCGTGACTTGGACATGCTGTTTAACTTATGTTGTCAATGGATACATTGATCTTGTTGACAAGATAAATGAATTACATTCTTTATTTCTCCTGTATTAGATATTGTATCCTGATGGTGCAATTATGGAACGAGGTACAGCTGTTGCAGAAGAATTAAGAAGAACTGAAAATCCAAACTTTTCACATGATGAACAGGAAATTAACATCCATACAGAGACTGTGATACCAAATGCATTGCAGGTTAATCCAGTCCACCCACAAAAGGCATCTGCTAGGAAAAAGAGTGCTAAAAAGAAAGTAGAAGAGAAAAAACGTAAGTTATTCTGTTTTATGCGAACTCATAATCAGTTAACACAATTCGAAGGTTATAAGTGAAATACTAGTAAGCAGTTAAGAGTCATGCTCTCAAAACTGTTGCAGGCAGATACATTGAAATCTTGACAATGAATTTCATTCCAGCACTGTTCTCACTTTTACAAAGTATGCATGTATTTATGTCAGCCTATGAGCCACAGTTAGAAATTTTATAAATCTATACTACATAATAAGGTTCTCAAGTCACTACAGAATGGAGTGGTAAAGTAAAACGCACATTAGAATATGAATAACCTTGACACTGAAAGCCTAGAGTGACAATGTTCAGAATACAGAGAAACAGAATAGCACGCACCAATGAATAATTAGAAAACGTTTTGAATCACACGGGGTGTACCTATGCTGTGGAAGGCTAATACAAGCATTCCAAATGACTGCTTTCCACGACCGGCATGTAAGCCTTTCACATTTTCTTTTCATATATTCAGGAGATTAGCTGCTATCAAAAAGGAATCCAATAGCAGTTGTATTGTAAGCATTTGACCATTGACATTTTGCAGCCATAACTTATAGTCATGAATATAATTTCTCTTAATAATGAGGCAGCAGATGTGATGATTAACACATGAAACATGCTTCCATTTGAATTGTTAGTAGTCGACTGACAGGAAATGGTGGATTGATGTTTTGCATAAAACTGTATACAACTGATTGATTGAGATGAGTAGTTGTGTACCACTCACACCAAGCAGTGGTACTTGCTAGCTAGACCGAGGTGACTTTAACACCTGACGGCAGTTTTGTTTGTTTGGGGAGAAGCTCATCAGCCTTATACCCAGTTTGACTCAGCCGAATAAGTTCAAACCATCCGATTTCCGGATAGCTATTTGGGTGAACTGGAAATTCCATAAATCAAATTCATAATTTGCAGTTTATTTGCAATTTACACATTTTGAGGTGAAATTTCACCACAGATTCCTTTAGAAACTGAAATTATTCAGATCATAATATTTGATCTACTTGATACTACAAATGGTAATCAAGAAAGCAAGAATAACAGTGTAAAACTGTGTACTACTGAGTGATCGGGGTGAGTAGTTGTGTCCCACTCACATCAACCAGTACTGCTGGTTGAATAACGCTTAAGTGAATATTTTGAATCAGTCTGATGAGTCCAGAAAATCAATGACGTTCACATGAATTTTAAAAGGTTCATCAGCTCCGCCGATCAGGTTTTATACTATCTCTGAGTACGTTACACTTCTAAATCAATAATCAATTAGAGTAAAACTAATATCAGATGCATAAGAATACGGTATACTCAGTGGATGAAATATTGTCATTGTTAATAGTTATTTCTAGCTATCATAAATCATCATTTTATGAAAACATAAAGTGTTTTTATATGGCTATGGTAATAAACTCAGATAAATGGGTAGTTTATTTGCAGTGCTAAACGAAGTGGACACCTTAAAGATAAGTAATGCTTTTATACATTTTTGTCATTTTTACCAACATAAAACAGTACATTACTGACTTGTTTTACCTAAATGAATGCCATAATAATAATTAATTCATTAGGAGCCTTAAAGCACTATTATAAACAGTATTTAAATTAAGGTTATCGGCTAAATGACAATGTTGATTTCTACTGACTTGATGTTTGTGTGCCTGCTTTTCTAACTCCTTATAACTCTTATACTTCTTCACAACTTTTACATAATTCCATATTTTCCTTCGTTTCTATGTAATCCTAATCAAAACTCACTCATTAAATTACTCATCTTATTAGGCAACTACAATACACTTATTCAGCTTCTCTTATGCATTGACTAAAACTGACAACTAATCACCACCACTTTTTTGATTGGACATTAGTAAGTAACTAGTGTAATGTGTCTAGTCCTATCTTTGGTGCAGACTGAATTCTTTAAGTCAAGTTTACAATGTGACCAGCACTCTAGGTGACTCGCCATCAGGGTGCACTTTGAATTGTTGATATTAGGTATCGTTTGCTACTTTGTTGATATTAGGTAGTTGGAAGCAATCAGCAAGTCTTCCTGCCGATTGCCTCCTACCACCTAATACCAATAATCACCACTGCCCTCATACTAATCTTCATCCTCCTAGTTAAAATTTGATTATTCATCATATTTTTTGAAGTATTTTGATGACATAAACAACCTCATTAATTTTTATTCTTGTCTGACAAAGCTAATGTACACAAACATACAAAAATAATCATATATAATTGCGATTATACGGCTAAGTGTTAATGAATTCGCCGAAAAGAGACTCCTCGCTGGATGGGGATTATTCATGAGCTAAATGAGAATTATGTTATTTCATGCTTTATTTCCTAGCCATTTTGCAGCAAAACCCCTTCCCATACAAAACATTCATCCATGTTCTATTCTTTTCTTAGCTGAAGATGATGTTCCCGCATTGGCTGCAACAGAAAATGCAATGTTTGTAACTCCATCCACTACGTCAAGGTCAACAACTGATGATCCAGATGAGGATTTACCTTGGCTTGTTACTCTTTTGTCCGGTGAACGTTTTTGGTTTAAATTAGCAAAGTCTTGTCAACGTAATGAAAAGTCAGTCGAGGATACACCCACTACAAATACATCAGCATTCAGGTCGCAAGAGTCAGTGACCTTAGATACACCTAGTTCAAAACGCTCAGCTGATACAATCAAGTATGAAATAATTCCTAGCAAATCAATGGAATCATTTCGAGCTTATGATCCTGCTACTGGTGAGACATTGTATACGCGTCCTGAAGATGGAATGATTGCTGTAGAACCTCATCCAGACAGTCCATTTAAACTAATAATTCAACACTCTGATGGAACTCGGATAACACAACTCTTATTAATATGTGTGAGTTTTAGGTTTCTTCAGCACTGATGACAAGGCACTTTATTTTATTTGAAAGCTACAACTATAGTGAGTCAGAAAAAACAGCGTATACATCTTGAATGCTTTAATCAATGCTGGAAATCAGAAATCGGTTACATACGAACTATCACTTTTAGGGTATATACATATACTGCCACTGTGACTAATTTGAAAGTGAAGTTACTTAAAAATTCAAAGTACAGACTGACAAATATTGTCAACAGCATATCTACATAAAATCTTTAGTTGTAGGTTCTTATTTCTTCATTATGTTGGGTATTAGATCCATCTTGTTTTAGCTCTCAAATTAAATGAAACTGCAGACTCATGAGTTTTAAATAAGAGAATTAATGACAGATTGTATTCTATTGATGATTCTGTTGTTGTAAGCATACTTCTGTGTTTGCTAAAGATGCCTTCGAATACCTGGGTCTTGTAAGAGCGATATCAACAGAAAAGTGAGGTCTGATAAGTTTATTGATAATTTATTTATTATTATTTAAATGCACTGATAAATATTTGAAGCCCGTGTAGCACATATTGAACGACATCGTCTGGGAGTACATAGTGGTTTAAAATAGTGACATAACACAGAATCAGCATCATAACACTACCCTTCTTTATGAATTTGAATACAGTAAAACAATAAGATAGTGCCATCACTTATTTCGTCTACTCATCGTATGCTCACAATCTAAAAAGCTAACTAATCTATGTACAGAGAAATTTCAACGTACCCACAAAAGTGACAGGATTTCGGTTAACAGAATACTCTAAGACTAACAAACAGTGGTTAGAAATTTCACAGCCCAATCAGAAATCCATAAATCAAAGCTTCATCCGAATCAGGCCGTGAGCTAGTGCAACTAAAGTTGATATAGAGCAGGATATATTGCCCTATGGGATTATCAATCAAGAATATGAGAAGTATAAGTTACTTCCTAAGAATATTCAGACATTATTTATTGTATTTCTATAAGTCCCGTATGTCCAAATTTTTTAGTCATCTAAACTGGAATTCTGAAAATCGTTATAGACTACATTTGGAGTTTTTCTCTTTGGAATAAATTTTATTTCCAGTTTGTTCGCACTTTAATATCCAATACAGCTTTAGCCCTCTATTTTTCAATAACTTCAATGAAATAATTTGATAAATACGCAGAATTACCTCCATTATCTAGGCTAGACGAATTCATCGTCATCTATCAATAAACCTCGGAAGGTATAAGTGTAGGTTTCTTTAGCCGTCAGTCACTGTAGAGTAATATAAGCCTTAGAGTTGGCGTCAGTAACTAGATTCAAAGGCTTTTAAGCCAGCAGAAATGAAGACAACTCACTGTGTTTGTATAATCTGAATATTTCAACATACAATAATTAAAAAGTGACTATGTTGAAAAAGATATTCGATACAAAATGCAAAGGTTTAGAAGTAGTTTCCTGAAATCACCTATACTACAATCATTATTTACTTATTTAGAACAAACTAACGTTTATCTAGATATTGTTTTCGTTTTATTTTTCATAGGATAATGAAAAAATGACTGATAGGTCGAATAATGAGTTTTTACACTCTAATTTAAACAAGCCACAAATATTTATTCGTGTAGAATGTGTTGGATTTCCAGCTGTTGTTCTTAATAAGTCAACTGGAGAGTTTGAGATATCATTATTCGGTAAAAGCCAGTTCTCATCAACATTTCATTCCAATCCAAGAGGATATCATTTGTTACAGTAAGTAATTGGTGCAAAATCATGTAAAGTAAGAATATTTTAGGGGATTAAGATTTATTACTCAATTACCTAAAATTTCGCTAAATTACACTAAAATTCTTAAAGCCTTTTTGATTTTGTCGCAAGATCTTAGTTGTGGAAAACAATACCTCACTGAACACAAGAAAATTGAATTATTTTGTGTGACAAACCTACTGAAAAGCTTGATTTTTAAATGAGAAAAATCAGACCATCTGTAAATATGAAAAAGAGAAGACATTCAGCGAAGAGACTCTTTTCGGCGAATTCATTCACATAGCTGTACAATCGCATTTATATATAAATATTTGTGTGTGTGTGTGTACATGAGGTTTGTCAAGTTTAGATAATTGATTAGTTAATACAAGAATGATGTATTAACTAATCAATTATCTAAACTTGACAAACCTCATGTACACACACACACACACAAATATTTATATATAAATGCGATTGTACAGCTATGTGAATGAATTCGCCGAAAAGAGTCTCTTCGCTGAATGTCTTCTCTTTTTCATATGACTCAATGGGGATTTTCAATCTACTCAAACATCTGTAAATACTCCAACATCACTATATCACGTTTTTACAGGTTGTTGGAAACTTTCCAATGAGGTATTATGAATGAAGCTGTTTAAACTTACTAAATGAGTTAGTCTGAGAGTGCTAAACTAAAGCGGTTTCACTGTTTAGACGTAAGTAAACTAAAGCCAACTCGTAATACCAATGGAAGTTTGTCTCATTTTTGTATGAAGGCGCTAACTGCTTTGTACGAGACTTCTGAAATAGATGACACAATGAAATATATGATATGTTTCGATTATTTTTTAAGTACCACAAGTACTGTTTTGATTTCAACTGTTTTATGATGAGAATGATAAAGCTAACTAACATCTCTAATTGATATACTGTGAATCTTTTCTAAAAAGGAGTATAGAAATATATTTCTACAGTTGTACGAATCAACTTGCCTAAAAGAGACACTTCACAAAACTGTTCGCTCTTCTATATCCAACTTATTTTGACTTGAAAACCTCATACTCATAAACTATTGAGGTTCAATAAAAGAGAAGGCAAGAGAAATGCAAGACTTATTTAAATTCACGATTTCTGTTGATTGGATTGCTAAAGTACTGTATTTCTATCCCGTAAAGTATTGTTTTCTGTCTAATTCTTTTGATTTATGAAACTGTTTCAATCTTTCTTATCTTTTATTTACCTTATTTTGACGTGCTGATGTAAAGTACTGCCACTCCCATTTATAAATCTAGTGCTTGTCAGTCTGTCAAGACATGGAAAAGAACTGTAATTTCTAAGAGAGAGAGAGAGAGTAGTTTTAAAAGTGACAGATAACCAGGAGTGATTAATTTAAATTCCTAAATAGAATAAGCCATTGTTTTCATCCAACTGACTTTTCATTTAGATATATTTCACTTATTTTAGCATTTTAATGGAGGTCAGCTAAACATCAATCCTGATAGTTCTGTTTATTATACAAGTCAATCACAGGAAATTATTGAATTAAATGAGCCAACTGTTTACGAAATGCATTATAATGACAATGAAAGTTTATTGGACTGCGTTGATCCACATAAAAATGTGTACACAGTTGACAATTGGGCAAACTGTAATGTTCTTTTGACTGGTAAGTGATCAAAATGGTAGGGGTATTTATCGTTTGCATTGATATATAGTCACATAGTTATTATCACTTCTCTTATCTACTATAATTATTTGACATGAACGAAAACGGAATAAAAGTGTACACACTGAATGTTGAAAGTTGCATAGTTCCACTGGAATGATTGTTATCACACGTGAAAACCTTATTATTATTATTGTTGTCATTATCATTATTTTGAATGAAAACAGAATTCTGGAAAGAAAATATCACCTTGGTAGTCAGTAGGATTTGCTTTCACTAACCAGTATCTTAACTTACAGTATGAAGTGTAGACTATTAAATAGAATGTAAATAAGAAGTTTATTGTTTCAGTGAATGAGTTAAATAGTATTTTTGTTCAGGAAAAAGATAGCATTAATATACAGCAAAGGTCTGTTAGCCCAAGTTAATCGACTGAAAAAAGGGAACTAAACTTCACACTGCATCCAGCATGTACATTTTTGAAACATGATATAATGGGATTGTCACGAAACGACACGTCTCAATTTTTCATAACATCAAAGAATTGCTTTTTGTGTTCTTTGGATAAAATTTTTTTGACATGAGGTTTTTCATCTGTGTACTGCTAACTGAAGCTGAAAGTTTAAACTGAAATTCGAAGATCTTCAGTGTGCATATCAGTACACTAAATCACACAAGAAGATTCTTCCACAAAATTATACTTGTTTAAACCATTATTCTTTAAGTAGCATGGACTTAATGTAGCAGATGAAAGGGAATCTCTTCTACCTTGAGATGAAACGCGTTATCGGAAGCACTGAATATCATTTTAAATAGAATACCAGAAAATTTTAGTTTACTTTGGTTGTAAAGCCTTAGATCAACAGAAGTTTGCCCAGCTTTTACAGAAATACCAGACAAAGGATTTCGGCGGCCTGTTTAAATCACTGGGCTACCGAAATTGCTTTCCAACAAAATGCTTAATTTCGTCTGGATTGATCATTGTTTTAATCGTCGAGTTGTATCAAGCGACCTATACATGAACTTGAACGCTGATTTAACTTGCTTCCAAGTAAACGTTATGCAATTCTTCAAAAAACTGAAGATATGCTTCAAATTATTACTTTACATGTAAATCCTGTATGAAGAAAAGTGTATTTTGGAACTAAATACGCTGAAACTTTTCGTACTATATATTCGCATATTGTCTGAAATAAAGTTTTATTATAATTATTATGTATTTACCAACTTCAATTAATCCCCGCTTTTATTTGAAAGCAAACACTATCTTTGAGTCCAAAATTATAAAGGTGTCTCGATCATCCTACATGTTTAGGATACTGGTGAAATTCTTATGCGCCGGATACAGTAGACTGACATTATTACTAATTAAAATAAACTTTCGAAAGAAGATACTAAGAAATACCAACCGAATTTAAGCTAATTTGAATTTTCACAAGGTCGTGAATGAGTCAGTCATTAGTTCTGTATTCATCGATCATTTGGTAGCATCTGGTCCCATGATACCTTCATTACGACAAGTCTGTTTCAATGTGGTACATAAATAATTCACTTCACGATGGTAATATCACAAATGACTTGTTGATGCTATTCAGTGAATCTGGAATGGTACGACATTTCTGTTTATTTTTCAAATCCTTGTGAAAAATGGAAGTGACCGATATAATAACTAGAATAGTCTGGAAAGCATCGTCTACATATTTCCCTGATGTTCAGCATTGAAAATTATTGGCTAAAACTATTAATTCTCTCTCACTGGAAGATAATCTATAGAATAAAAATGTTAAACGCAAAATTTTTTAAATTAACTAATGACAATACAAATATGTAGTATTATCTCCATCGCTCGAGCCTGGTGAATAGAATTAACAGAGTAAGCTGAATATTTCAGCTCGTATATTATACCACTTGGTTGTATGGCTCATTTAGTTTCATAATCTGTCACTTTTACTTCACCCAGAATGAACCCAATTTTCTTTTACATTCCTCATGTGAATAGTGCTGATTTAACTCGCAGCTTTGAGATAACAACTCAGATATGTTTCTTAGATATGCATATTCTTCTAAAAATCTATGCTTATGAACTGAATGTTTATTGAAACAGACTAACCTGTGTAAAACACATAAATTCTAATTTTCAGTTTTACTACTGACCTAAATCTTTATCAGTGATAAGACATACTTTTAAATTAAAATAAAAGTTAGAAAATTCCAATCTTAAAAGTAATTACCAATATAAAAATTTATGCAGTTATTTACTAATTTGTTAGACAGATGATTTTCCTTGAGTTACGAGTGAAGCATAGGGATTTAAGCTTTGAAGTTCCAGTAACGGTGTTGTAAGCCTTCACGCCCAACCTTTTATACTTTGCGGGTTTACTCCTGGTTAGTGAACCAGGTAAGGTTTGGGAGTGCTTCGGTCGAGAATCGAACCAAGAAATCTCACGTGGCTGGCAAGCAATGCACCGATGGTCCATTCACATGCTAGATAGATTACTGAACTAATAAAGTGATATACTAAGGTAAGAGTTCATTCTATATTTTAGTGTCTCAAGGGGAAAGTTTAATTAACTGAATACTACAAAGTAGCCATTGATCGATTGAAAGGCATCCTAATGGCGTTCGCGTTACTTCGTTACACAGTCCGAGGGGTAAATAAGGTACACCGATACCATTTTGAAAGACTTGAAAGATGTCAGAAAGCGATAGAATCACTGATATAATATCACAGTGTAATAACTTCCACTTTATTTTTATTTGCTTAAGTGAGTGGTAAAAGGCATCCACTAGAAGAACTCGATTTTGAACCAAATCAGGTCAATTCCACTGAATTAACCAGTGATCAAAGTGAGCAACAAGTTCAAGATCCACTGAAGTTAAATTCTTCGGGAAAGGAGAATGTTAACAGTGATCGGATGAATGAATCAAAAACTGAAGAATCAACTGACAGATCTCGCTGCCTACATGACGAACATATACCACGATTATTTTATTACAATCCTGAAAAACATATAGTCAGTGAACTGCTGCACTTCAAAGAATTTGATTGTTTGCTTCAAAAAGCATACGGTATCCAGGCTCCTCATCACAATGTAGCGGCACTATCAATCCAAGAAAAACTGGCTTATATGAATATGAAAAAGCAAAAGTTAGTTTCATCAGACATCAAATCTTCAAACGAAGCTCTGTTCTTGAAAGAAGCATTGCAGAGTAATCCAAAGGTAGGTTTAACATTCATTTATCAACACAGATGGCTTTTTTAATGATTCTATTTGATGTCCAAGATATTTTTGTAGTGAACTGTATTACTGAGATCTGTTTTCAGTGATTACTAAGGTACTGGAGTAAATAAAGACAATTCTGTGTAACCATTTTCTTTTCAGTTGTCGACAGTCAAAGGAGACTATTATTAGTAATTCTTAAACATCAAGATAAGAGTCAGTATACTTACAGTTCTTGGAACTTTATGATCTGAGTGGGGGATCTACTTTAATGCTTTTGACCAAATTCTTTTTTTTAAATACATGATTTCCATTAATCCTTCTATCCATTTTTACATGAATTTTCTGTCAATCCCATTCTTGACCACGTTATCATAGTAATTAATTACATCGTTACATTAGCCATTACTCTTGAAGTATTACTACAGTTGAATTGGTTACATTGTCAAACTTAATACAAGCTGACAGATTGTAAACAAAATCCACGAATAAGTTCACTTGCTCTGCCAAAATATGTGGAAATGCTCGAAGCCTGTAAAGAGAAAATACCGTCACTGATTTATGGAGGAATCTGAACAGTTGTAATTGAGGGTGACATAAATAACATTGTCAGAATGATATTTATATGATAATTGATATCCGGGAAAAACATGCAAACTCAGGTCACAGAATCCTTCCTCTGAATATTTTCAGCCAAATGCTGTACTGACTGATTTATGAGATTGAACTAATGACCAATTTTTATTTCATTGCGACTACCAAGGATAAACAAACTCAACAGCAAATGAAAACATTCTCTTTATTTTCATTTATTTGAGTTAAGGTATAGGTGAGGTGAAATCGGTGAGTAGCTAGTACGGTGGCTTTAGCAAATAATTTACAGTTCATTCATTCATATGAGAGCAGATGAAGACGTTTTGCGACCGTCATAAAATGACAACGTGATTAACAGTCAGGTGACTTCACTCAGTCAGTTCAAGGTCGGACCAGAAAACTAGAGACCACAATTTCGAATCTTGTCACAACCCAATTTTACCTTACACCTTTAAGCAATGAGTCATGAAGTTAGAACAGGCTTTCAACAAGAGTTACTTGTTACCTGTTGGTTGCTATTATTTTTGACAGTGCAAAGTTGTTAAATGCAATTTAAAACAAAATACCAACTGGATATAATTATGTCAAAGTATGTGGTATTCTTTGGGTATTCTCTTTTCTTCTCTAATCATATTCGCCTCTGAATAATAATACCCCTTGTTAATAATAAAGAGACCTGTGGAAAACTAATTCATTTTAATCGTAATTTTGATGACGGAAGTTGTAAGTAAGACAGTATTTCCAGTAAAAATAAAGCTGATTTTGAGTAGCTGTAGCTTTTTGTGATCTCAGTTTCTGTTTAGGACATTTTATGAAAATGAATATTTGAATAATACAAACTTTTCTTCTTTTCATATCAATTTTATAAGCACAAATAGTCTATGATATGCAAAGAAACAGTACGCAGTAAGCGTACCTAATGTAGGTTGTCTTCAACTGTCAGCCTGTTATTTTTTTAAAATATTCCTTTTCCAGTATAGAAGTTTTGTCTCACTTTGAATAATATCTATGGTATATTTACTCTGTACTGTTATGTGAACTAACTCACTGAATATAATGCACATAATCCCAGTGCATCCTAATGAGCATAATTTACTAGCAATTAATAGTGTTCTCTGAGCTGGTTGGTTTAGTTGCGAAGCTTTCGTCGTCCTTCTGGACAACATCTTCAGCTTATACAGCTATTACTACTATATCATTGTTCCCGCCCTGGTCTACATTAGGTATACAAATCTTACATAGAATCCAACTCTACCATAGTACTCAACCCAATTATTATTTATAGTAAAAACAGGTGAACAATGAACAATAAGGCAAGTGAATAAGTTAGCCAGAAAAATAAATGTAAAGTCTACCAATAGAAGTAACTACTGGTAGTTTGAAATATTGTGTAAAATAATAATGTGAATAGCTCCGCATAAGAGTCCTTTCATGTCAGACTAGAAGACGAATTCATGATGAAAAATAAGTACAGTAAAAACCCACTTGACTGTTAGAATTCAGTCAGCAGTAAGGTGTGAAGACATGACTCACTAGTGACCAATTCCTACATGAATTACAATGCTACAGAAAATCAACTGCTGACCAGAGAACTGGGTGACACAGGTTCAAGGTAGGAATAAGCACGAAACTTAAGTCGACGGTTTACTGCCGATCGCCTCAAACTACATATCAAAATGTAAAGCCCATAAGAAGCGACGTGGGCATGTTCTGTTCAACTCACCTAAAATTGTATTTCTGATTAGCTGAATGTATCATATGATGAATCTTTCGCTCTTATGTGACCCTCTGCCAGGAAACACTGCTATCAAATATCGTTCTTTTCTGCCTTAAAATTTAGATTTACGGTCTAATATTGATGCAACCATTGACCACCAGTGACATGAGTAAATATTATGTTCAAGAAAATATTATTCCAGAAGGTTTAAGCAGTCATGATTTTCAATTACTAACACGCCCATCTAATTTGATAGTGAATTCAGATTTACCGAAATTCGGTGAAAGAGCTGGTAAGGGCTTGGACATTATTCAGCCTACATTGGAACATCTTGGTTTAAAGATCCCGGAGACAAATGTCACCCTATTACCATTACAGAAAAGCAAGACACTCAACCGTCAAAGTCGAAAATTAATTAATTCTCATCAATCGCTTCATATGAATGTTCGACAGTTTACACAATATCCTATGATAACACCAGATATTACACAACGGTAAGTTTTTCAATGGAGATTTTATGAATCTGCTTTATTTAGAAAGTTGAATTGTACATAGCAATGAGAAAAGGCACACTGAATGTCAAAGCCTTTGTCCTTTGCCAAATATAAGAGAGGCTGAAGTGAATCTATGTACAAAAATGGATGCAAAGAACTTTGCATCTATAAAAAATAGACAAAAAAGTATCCATTTTATTTATAAGTACTTCACTAATATAAACGTGTTCATTTCAAATCGTAATACAACCTGTGATAGAATAATAAAAGTACTATTCATCGACAACTCAAAAATGTATTACTTTAAATAGGTGACATACTAAGCACCCAGTACTTCAGGTGAAACACATAGATGTCTATATTGTCGTAAGACCAGTTTCATAGAATGGTTGTCTCAATGTCTTAAATGAGACTTGTGAATTTGATGCAGTCCAAATACGAGCTGTGTAAAATAGCTGTATCAAGTACCAACTGACTTAGTGATGAAGCAGAAGTTAAGAGAAAAATGTTTTCCGATTTTTCCTTGTGACACCACAATTAAATTTTTTTCAATTTATTGTCGTTTTGCTTCCAGTATTTTAGGTGTATTATGTGCTTATACAGAACACTACCTGAATCGTTTAAGTCAGTGGTGTAAACAACAACCACTCAGACTATCGGAAGTAATGCAGCCAGAATGTGAATTATTTTTTAGTTCTACATCAACAGTTACAGATGGATTATCTGGAGATAAGCAGACTGCCAACCAGTTAGAAAGTGAAAATGCTGCAGACGTATCCACTTCTCCAATACAACAGACAGTCATCAACCAAGAAATTCGTCAGCGTAAGTGTCAAAGGAAAGTTTTCTCATTAAAAGTTTGATTCACAGACTAACTCTAGGAATACTAACCGTGAGAATAATCTTGAGTTTACTAACATCTAAAATGTGCGAACTGAACAGTTGTTAGTTCAGTCAGATGGCATGAAGTAATCTATTTTAAAAAAAACGCTTCTGGGATTTTACCGCTTACCATAACTAAACTAGCGAACGACAACTATGTATGTAATACTGATAGGAATGACGCAGAGGAAATTCTTTCCTAATAATTTGGATTACCACTAATCTTTTCTAGAGAGTCGATATGCTAATAATTTGCTCAAATTTCAGAGAAATGAGAGTAAACTCATTCTACTTAGTAAACTCAATGACTAATTAGGCAGAAATGTTTACTTTAAAATATGATATTCCATTTTTTATCTTATAGTTCACTGATATTATGACCTGCATATGTTACTTTTTTAATGACCATATTGCGAAACGTCATTTGAACTAGCTATCCACCAATAGAATACAGCGTTTTTTTAAAAATTAGAACATAATTGAAAAAATTTCCAGATTTGTGAGTTGAATGACCGAATTCGACTTTTCATCTGAGGGCAACAACCTACACAAGCCACATGTTCAGTGATCACAACTTATAAAAGAAAACACATACACTATATAACTCTTTGTAACTCATGATGAACTGTCCCTTCACTAATATGTTTCAGCCCAGTGGTAGATGCGATTTTATAGTAGGTTCTAATATCTAAAAACATATCATTCACTGATTTGAAGTTGTGCCAAAAGATTTGTTATTTGGTAGGTATTATGTGCATCACGCTCATCCATCCACAACCCATTCATTGAAAAGCGATTTAAACTGAAATATGACTTTGTTGGTAAGGAATCACAGTAAGTTGGACAAAACATGTTATCAGTCCACGAGAACATTAATTGTTTTTCACGTGGATAGTGGTAGATTACGTAGACAATACAGTCACGATTTTAATGGTTGGAGACCCTATAACATGACTCTTTCAGAATCCGAAAGCCTCGTCAATTTTAGTCAACTTATGCTTTTAATCAACTAAAGTTTGTAGACTGTTATATGTGTTAATTAATGTTAAAATGTAAACTCACTTTACAGAGGTCTTAATTAATCCTAATCTTTTAAGAAAATCTTCTAATTTTCAGCCCTTTTACTGGTTTTCTTACAATTGTGAATATCACAATATGCTGGTTAATAATATTCACTCACTATTGTTATTTCAGAAACTATTGCTTTTTTTTACTGGAAAACTTTTTTGATTTTGATTTGCTCATTAATGATTTCACTTAGTGGAAATAAAACCAATTTCCTATAATACCTCATTTTATTACAAGTTACTTTCTGTTTCCAAAGGGATTGAAAGCTTTTTGTTTCTATAAAGTGAAATATACACAGTTAGAAAACCGTCACTTACGCTGTGCAAAATATATAATAAGGATTTCCACATAAGTGGATACAGATGAAGTGACTCTGTGTCAATAAATACTACTGTTTGCAGTTGTCTAAAGAACTTTGTTTAAATGAATAAAGTAAATGCTCATTTTATGCTTTTCTGCATAAACGTGTATGCATCATTCACAAGTAAGCAAAACATTAATAAAAAATCAACAAAATTTACAGTATGGGTAAATTACATAGTAAAGGGTTTATAATTTAAATATAACCTATTCAGCTTGTTCTTTCTACGTCATTTCTCTTACTTCGTTTTCCACTTTTCGTTGTCATTATAGATTATTATAATAAATTCTTAATGAGACCGTATTATTTAATTTGCGTTTTAAAATGTTTAACTTTCTGAGACAGTGACAAAACATTTCATCAACGTCGGTGATTATTACATAAACCACAAAATAAACCGCTTGTCAGTAAGTCACGGAAAGTAAACAATAATACTTTAGCTTCGTGATATATCAAGCAATGAAAAATTATGTTAATTTTCAAAGTTTAACTTGTTCATTTAAGCCTTCATGGGATCTTGCAATAAAATTTTCAAAATATACTCCAAATATGTCATTCTTGTATACATCTACAAATACGTCGTAATAAGTAAATTATTTTTAGAGTTATAGTGACAGTTAGCCCTATAAAGCTATGACTGCTACAAGTTTTCCAAAATACCGAGGCAAAAGATGACATGAAAGTTACTGAAATCGTCGGGTGAAAGACATATCTTCACTCCAAAGTTTCAGGGATAATCGCTGAAATCCAAGTGAAAACTAGATGGCATAAAACACAATCAGCAACTGTAACTCAGGCACATTTTCCACCTGATTATGTTTCATTTATTTCTTATGCCTAACAGTTTTCGTCAACTTAAGATTTAGTTTCTTATCTTTCCTAGTAAACGCTGAGTGTGGCGAAATGAATCAATTATCTGTTTTCAGACACTTTAGCAATGGTTAGTTTCTCTTGTAATGAATAGCTTTGCAGTTGATAAAATATCAGTTAAGAGACTGAGATTAGTCTGAATGTGATTATGAGCTTTTCATTATCCGATGTTTCTTCATTCCTTAGCTACATTCCATATTTCACCGGCGAGACAAGCAGCATTCGAAGCATTACGTCAGGAGCTTGAAAAAGCTATGAGAGATAGAGCAGCATTGAGAAGTACTCATATTCCCAATTATTTTCGATCTAAAGAAGGTATTGGCTTCCTTTTGTCACAGGTAGGTTCTGTAACACACATGTTTAAATGCTGATTATATAAGTAATAAATTACCAACTACGCCTCACACTTGGTCGATATACACCGATAATTTTGCTTAGAATAAAACAACTAGTTTTGTTTATTTATACTCGCTTTTCTAATAAAATAGCACCAAGAATCTAAGATGTTAGAACTAAAATACAAATGTGGATACGGCTGAGCAGCAGATTTTAAGTATATACAAACGCATGAAGAATAGTTGTGCTTGTAACTGTAGTAAGCTAATGAATTAAGATTCAGTGAAATTTATAAATTTCAGGATTTTGGAAAATTTGAGTGATTTTTTTCAAACCGTAAACAGACGTTAATTTGTATGGAAATTATTATCAATTTACGCTTCTGCTATAAAACAGTTTGTTCATACGTTGCTTCATAATTCTACAATTTATGGAGAGGAATACTGTAAATGAAATAGTAAAATAAACTGTAGTTATAGAAGGGAAGTAACTCTACTCAAAACGTAAACAACCAGAATTCAGTTAAAGTGTGATGAACATTAATTTGTCGAGTAATTCAACTCCTTCACTACAATTCTGAGTTTGTGTTTTCTATAAGTTTTGGCCGAAAAGCGTTACAGTGAATGTTCTCATGTTGAGATAAACATTTCATGAATGATAATTTCTGTTGCTTCAGAAACTGTTTGCCACAAAATGGCTAATTTCTTTACCTAATTGATCGCTTAACTAAAATTTTATAAGCCTTTGCTGTATATCTTCAACAAAACATGGAAGGGTGAAATTGATGGTCCAGAAGGTCTAATTCTGTCAAAAGTCTCAACACTGAGTACTGAATCATCGCTCTGTCAACTGTTTACCTGTTAGAGTGGTGTCGTCTCTCTCTAACTGGGCTTGTGAACTTGCTGGTATTACTGAGAATTGTTAGAAAGCTTTCTACATAGTGTGAACTGTTTAGTCAGACAAATCTACTGCCTTTGTCTGGACGTCCAATAGTCAAGTCATTATTGATGACTAGTTCTTTGACGATGTGTTGCTCAGTCAAAAGTCAGTGGTATTTCTCTGCTGAATTCTTCAACTTTAGACAGCAGGCGAGAACTGATAACTTGAAAGACAGCAGTTCTGCAGAAGGTCAATCGCAGCCTGTTTAACTGAGCAATAAAGAGTTAGGCTGCACTGCTGAATGACAGGGATTCGAATCTCAAAGGAGACATCAGTTCCTTCAAAGTTGCAATTATCTCTTGTTAATAACTGCTAACTAATGGGCAACAACTTCAGAATGGGCGTTAGCAAACACCATTATTTCCCTTTATTAATTACATATCACTTGTGAGTAGTATTATGGTCTAAAGGAACTGATTAGTTCTGATGGGGTTCTTTCAATTCTTCCTGAAGTGACTAATTGAATGTTTTTCACTTTATTTCACTAATTATAATTTTTATAGTGATTATCCCTGTCTATTACACATATTTAGTGAAAGTGATTGCAACATTAACATAAATGTTGCGTTAATATTTACTTTAGTTTATGATATTGCTTGAAATTACAAGTCTCGAGTTGTTTTTTCGGCTAATCAAACTTTTACTTGAATATGCTGTCTTTCTTTAGGTTCCTGACGTTAAAAAACTCGCTAAATTTGTTCCAGAATTAAATAATCCAAATCAAAACGTCACGAAAACTGAGAAATCAAGTAAATAGTATTTTGCCTAATTTATTTAAATCTTTTGATTGAATAGAATGCCTAGTTTTATGTAAGCGGAATGAGGTGTTACAAAATTGTTTGTTTGGAAGTAAACTGTCATAACTGACCTTACAGCCACACGTACATGAGCTCTGCAGTAAAATTTGAAGTTGGTTTTTGTTCACAGTCAAATTCTACATACCCGTATTACTTTTATAAAGTTCTGAAACCATTTTTCCTGTAAGAACTGTATGCAGCAGTAGGGATCCATGTAAGTGATCGGAATCCACATATGCAATGCTTGATAACCTTATGAAGGTGATAGAAGCTCCAGCTGCTTAGCTCCTATTAAGTCAACCGTATAAGAACTTATGGTGAAGTTGTTTTGAAGCAAACACGTTGCAATCATGCCATCGGAATGTTAGCAATAATTTTGACAGTTAAACTTCGAATTTTAATTAAAGGAATATATTATCACCATTTAAATTCGCAAAGTGAAATATGTAGAAATGTGATTAATTCTTAGCAAATAACTATTATATGCAACAGTCCACTTACCAGGTTAACCATTCATATCCGTATTTCATAAAATAATTTAGACACATACACTCGCTTCAATCATCACCACATTTTTATATGCTGAACGCTTTTGTCTACTCTGTCGTTTCAATCGTTTCTTTTGTCTACCCATATTGAAGACTTTAAAAGTTGGTGAATTATTGAGAAGTTTTCCAAATTCGCTCCTTCCTTTGTCTGTTTATCCGACTAGGATGAATGTATTTTACTTACCTCATTTATGATTTAGACATATTTAATCAATTTCCCATCACAATGGCATAACCATTTGCATCAACATGGTATGCAGGAGTTTAGTCTCAACTCAAATCAATCAAATGTCTGTAGGTTTATGTGTTAATGTAATTATGGAAGAAAGAAGCAGAGACAAGAGGTAACGAAATCAGTAGCTTTATATTTAAGCATATAACTAGACACGGGTACAAAAAGTCAGTGAGTTTAAAAAAAGAAGATGAAGTGTTGTCTTGATTTTCTCTATTAAACCGCGCTTATTCTTCGAGCTAATATTTAAAAGGTTTTCTTCATAAACTAGTCGTTTCATTTCCTTTGTTTTAATTTGTTTTTCACTTAGTCACTCATCAAAATTTATTCGTTTTTAAATTTCTATATGTACATATATACATATTTATTAAAAGCTTTAACAGAGCAATCTATTCCAACTTACGATTCACCTCCGAAAATTGCCAGTCCGTTATTGAGAACATTAGAAACTGACAAGATGACGGAAATTGAAACCGTAGGAAAAACTCACAAGTCCAATACTGATCGACTGGTGATGAGTAAAGCGAACATAACTGATGAAAGAAACAACTTCAGTAAACAAATAATGAATACTGTTCCAGATGCTGACATTAAGACAGCCGTAACAAGAACATCTAAAAGAAATTGTTTCTACTATTATGATACTGATCCGACGGAGATTGAACTGTATAGTACGTGATAAAATTTGTTTGTTTGATTTGTTTTCTTAATATTTACCATAAATGTGTCTTTAACAATGGTATTTTTGGATTTAACCCTTGTTAAAGGCCTGAAAGCCACGAAATATGCTACTATATTTTATACCCACACAGTAAATGTGCTTCATTTTGGCCTCATAGATCAGCATAAAGTAGATGATTTATAACAAGGTAAATAGTTTATATTTTCAAAGCATTCAGCGGACGAGTGAATATCACTGATAATTTCAGAAGTATTTCGGTCGGGAAGACCGTTTTCTGCAACATCATTCTCGATTGCTGTAGTAATAAATGTGAACAAAATTACATTTTCACGTGATAGTAGACAATATAAAGGATTTCTGTGAAACGATAATTCTTAGTGAGGTGTCTTTCAAAAGTAATATAAAGCTAAACTTGGAATACTTTTCTCTGGTGAAATGATACTTGTTGTCCTAAATGCAGCTGGATAGAGACACATAACTTCTAGCGGATAGTATCAGAAGTCTTAACGGAAGTCTCTAACAGTTCAGTTATCACTATTTCAAATTAACTTTTAACTACTAACAAACTCGCTGAATAGAATGGACTTCTGCTTAATAATATATTAAATGAATATCATTTCTCCATACCGTGTTATTCCATTAGAAATATTAAATGTGGGTTGATAGATAACTTGACAGGTATGAAGCAGTTTGTACAGCATTTACTAAGGTTTAAATGTTACAATATTAGTACATATAATTCTAAAGCCTTAGAAACTGAATGTCTGAAAACTGACAACCTTGGCTTTTAGAGATATTCAAACTGGTCACTGCTCTAACCCATTAGCCAATACAACTGGCTAGTATTCCTTCACAGATATCTGTAGAATTAAATTTATCATTTAATATAATTTCTAAATAACCACTAGGTTGTCTGGATGCATAGCATTTCAATTCATGTTATGAAGATTAGTTTTGTATTTCGAAATAAAATAACAAGTACTACGATTTTTTCTGGTTAAAGGAAGAGACATTTCAAATCACCTCACGACTACGTTTTTGTTTTTATTCATCACTACAACTTATGATTTTTACATGGATTTTGATTTCATTTTATCCTGAAGATCACCAAACCTCCCAAGTCCCTTTAGACTCTGTAGCTCTAGCTAGAAGAAAAAGAATTCGAGTACCAAACATTCTGTACGCCAAGCGCCCAAGTTTAAACAAATTTACTTATAATTCAGACATAAACATTCAACAGGCATTGGTTGAAGATCCTGTGCGCCGACGAGTCCTGTTCACAAGTATTATTGGCGGTCCTCCATACGGTCAGATTTCACTACGACGAATGCGCGGAATACGCTTAACACCAAATCGTATAAATGTTGGTACATTACAGTGTGGATCAACGCGTAACTTTTCCGTGAAGTTAGTGAATTGGGGTCCTGAGACTGCGCACTTTCGAATTAAACAGCTTCCTATTCATAGTGGCATACGTGTTTTCTATGCTCCAGGACCTATTCCTGCAGGTATGTTTATAAATGTGGAAAAATGAGTGAACATGTTTCTGAGTAAAAATAATAATTATTAAATGAACTGTCAGATATTGGTAAATTTATGTCTTTGTTTAAATAAAGAAACAATGAATTGTCAAATTATCAGTTGAAGTGTGAGAATATGATACTGTTTCATACACTCCAGTTATAATTTTTCTCTGATCATATCTTTATCAGCCAATTAATTAATTCCTAAAAGTTCAACCCAGTAGAAGTCAATAAAACGTATTCAATACCTGTGATGTTGAAATCATACAGCATTATTTAGAAAAGACTTTTTAATTTGTTTCTCGTAATTAAGTTTATCATGAATTCAGCTATATAACATTACAACTGACTGCATATTTTATGTTGGACTGTAAACAATTAAGATAACAGGTAATTTTCACTTATGATTATTGCGAATATTAAATTAACATTTCACTTAGAAATATTTTAAACTGGCTCTTACTTGTTCCTCAAGTTCAAGTCGATTGGCAGTATGTTGGACACTTTCTGCAGACAGTACACATCTTCAAGTCTTAAATTGTACAAATTTTCTTCCACTAACAATAATTTTAGCTTTCTATACCTTCACTGTAATAAATTTCAAATAGTGTTGATAATATCTTGCCTAAGTGTTTTTCTTTTTTCTTCAGGATTATCTCGGCAGGTGGTAATAGAAGTATCAAACCAAATTCAACGTCACTTAGAAGGGAATTCATCTGACCAGAATTATGATCACAATAGCGATCAAAATGAGGCAACTGAATTCAAGAAAACAACTCAGTCTTATATAAGATGGAGTTTCAGTGAAAAATCCTATCAGAGTTCTGAAGATAACGAAAATAATGACGATGTTAGCAACGGCAATGCGAATAAAGGTGCTAATTCGAATACACGTGTTCAAATATTTTCAGAGCGTTTACAAATAACCACAGATACTCATATAATGTATCTGTTAATTACTGGACGTCGGGTTAAAATTATGAATTCAGAAGAATCTTCAATCATTAATGTCAATGAGGAGGCAATCAAACCACAGTTGATTCCACTCTTAAGATCATAAAAATGAAACAGTTATGTGAAGCAAAAAGTAAACAGTTGCATAGGAAAACTGGCTAATAAAACATTTTGTTAATCCACTAATCAAGTAATAATAAATTGAACTGAAATGAATCACAACTTTTGGTATATAAAAATAATTAAAACAGTATCAATGACATAATAAGTAGAAAATTCTTGGCCTGATAGTATAACGAAAGAGGAGAATTCCATGCTTAGCAGACAGGTTCAGAAACATTGCTTTCACAAACTGACATTGACAAAGGCAGGTAATAGAGGGACACTAAGTGGTTGATCATGAGATTTTACTTAGCGATGCTCATTTCATTCGTTTATTTACCGGAATTAGTTTTCAGAGGTAAACATCTTCAGACTCTTCATGGCCAAAAAAATAATGAACAATGAAAGCGTGCATTACAGGTTTCGAAAATTCGAATTTAGAGAAATTAAAATAAGGAGATATTCTTCACTGATAGCAGATATTAAATAAAATAAAACTAAAACCAGGGTATGATTTTTGATCAATTTTCAATGAGCATGCATAACGTTTATTGAGATCTAAGACAATTCTGCTTTCAGTGATTTAGTTTCACTACTATTGGTAATTGGCCTTTGTCTTGTGAGGGGATACTTCAGCTTTTCATTCGTGCATTAAGCAAACTAAACACTTGAATGCATATATTTATTTAATTTACAGGAAGATGTTGTGTATAATGATCTGCCTTCCATTCTACAATCTGTTTAGTAAAAGTAGTACAACTGATTTAATGGAATAAATAGGCAAAAATTATCATACATAATTACTAATGAGAACAGTGCAGCTTTTACTAGGTTTGATAATCAGCTACAAGAAATATGTACTGATTTGTAAAAAATTATATTTGTAAAATCTCAGCGATATTGAAATGAGTAATTCCAACGTTTCGTTCGGCAATCTGGTCCGAACTTCTTCAGGGAAATTAATCGAAATTAACATAACAGAGGTTTATATATAAAAGGAGCATCACTTGTTTTCAAAAACTTTCTCCAATCATGAGTCATTCAACAAGTATAATAAACAAAATTTTATGAGCTGTGATCAAAATTTGACCCCGGACTTACAAATATTGGTCTACCTTTGTTAAACATTTTAAACAGAGTGTGCATGCGTGTGTGGGTAAACAGTTGTAAAACATTTCTTAACGTCTCCATAGGGAGATATAGACAGTCGGGAATTTGACCAAGTATTTAATTAATTAGTGATACATATCCATTTTTATTTATCAATCAGGATTTCCTATGCATTAGCTAACATCACGCCTTCATGTCTGTTCAAACTGCTAGTATCTAGAATTTTATGATCAGACGTATTTTCAAAATTATGGTGTTTAGGATTAGAGTTTAGTAGAAGCACCCTGTCGGACTTATTGCTTTGTCTTCTTTCTGAATATTGAGCTGCTTTATTCGACCTACTGGAGTTTTCAGGTGACTCAACAGCTACGGATTTAGGATGTACTGAATATGAAAATCCACACCAATTGGATTTAATCGAATAGATGTCGGGAACATTATGAACTAATTTCCTATCAGTGTGTGTGAAAATGTCAGATAATTCCTGACAAACCACAATTCTCTTAGTGAGTGATGCATGCATTCGAGATGAATTGGAACGTGTTTTCAATTGGAATTATGAATACTGTTTTCTTTTTGGTTTTGTGAGCAGCTTGATGAATAGCCTTGAAGGGATAAGCACCTGATGTATGTTCAAAATAAAAACAAACTTCTAGTTTAAATCCAAACTTAGCTCTTATCGCTTTAATCACAGCATGTTATAAACTTCAGAAGCCTATTACACAGCAATGCATAAAAGTAGAACAATTTTTTCAGTGGATTGTTTTCCTGTAATACATACTACAATGTTTGCGATATTTAGTGTATCGTTATGTTGATGGTAATGATCTGTAATCTATCGATATCATTCATTCGATGTTATTTAAACAATGATGGTGTTAATAACACTAATTCATTTACTATTATGCATATATAACTGTAGAATTTATCGAAAAGAATATTCGCTGTTCAGTAACTATTCTTTTGAAAAATTTAATGGGCATTTTTAATCAGTTAAAATGTCAGTGAGTAATTCTTTATGATAAAGTTGGTTGTATTGTCCGAACAACTGTTATTTTTTCATATTTACGAAATGCAAACTGCGTAAATGTGCTAAAGTAATAGTGTAACTTCAACTTCAATGCCTAAAATGCGTACTTTTTCTTGGGTAACCAACCATCTCTGAATTTTAGCCAACATTATACACCTTAAGTGCAATCATACTGAATGATTCATACTGCATGAAAATGTCCGTCTGAACAGGAACATACTGTCTTGTCTCACCTCTGCTTGCACGATCCGTCAGATAAATGTAAGGAGATCAACAATGAAGACATCAGACACCAATCATAAAAATATGGTGGCTTCAGCAGTTTGAAATATATACGATATAACAAACTCTTTGTTTCATTTTCGTGGGTGTATTGTATGACCTAGTTTAATTCTTTTCCATTTTGATCACCCGTCTATGCTTCTGAATAGTCTTTGAAAGTTAAACTGAAGAATGAATTTCTCATCAATAAAAGATGAGTAAATAAGTCTTTTTATTCACTTTTATGACAAATATCTTATGCAATCTGTCTGATTCCTGTTGGTTTCTGTCTTTAGTTAGTGGCTAGTGATAGTCTAATATATATATATATATATATATATATTGTGAAACGAAATTATAAATACCTAGAAGAATTCTTCTTAAGCAGACTCAGTTACAGTTGAGGACTGGATATTTATATGATAGAGTCCGTTTTTATTACGAATTTTCACGTAGAACTGGAAGTCAGTAGTTTCCTCCAAAATCTTTCTCTTAACTACGACTAGAAGTAAATAAAATCAGTGCCAGTAGACCCCGAACCTGCAAAAGTTGTTCTTCATTTGTATTGAATTAAGCTTCTTCGTTTAATTACCTTCATGTGCATCTGTGAGTTAACCTGTATCAGTTTACAGCATTTCATTCTGTAGGCTAATAAGACTGGAAGGATGTTCATTACAATTTTATTTTAAACACTTATTCATTCAAATATTCAATCAGTTTGATTTAGAATTTAAAATTTGCTATGTTTTTATCTTAACGTTTTAAAATGTCTGTCTTTGAACGTAAGAAGACTTGTTTATTAAAAAAAATTTAAACCCAGCTTATACTGAAGTCTGTATTTCTTCTTAATTTGTTCCTTGCATCCAATTTAGTAGTTTATACTACTTACAATATCTGGTTGTTATTTATTAAATCTTTTCCAAAACAAAATGTTAATCCCCTTTTGTTATTAATCAACTTTTAGCTCAAAAATAACGCTACATATGTATTCGAAATTATTATTTACCTCAACTGTCTGTATCTTCCACTTTTAATAAGAATTTTGTGTACTAGTTCAAATCCACTCATGTGAGATAAGATGATTAGTTGAATTATTAATTTAAGTGTAGAATTTGGGCGCTGTGATATAATGTAATTCTATATTAGATTATTTTAATAATCTCACAGTGACGCAGTATTAACAACTGGATGACGTGTCGAGCATAAATTATTGCTCATAATCATATCAGATTAGTCACACGGTTTCACAATTTGTTTTAAATATATTTTCTAGTATTGGCTTTGTAGGGATTTTATTTGATTGGATGGAGGATTTCATCATGAGCTGACATCAGTTAGAGAACCACTGGGAGTACTGGACAGCTGTTTCGTCCTAGTTTGGGACTCTTCATCAGTACGCAACCACCGGGGTTCATGCAAGTGAATGCAGTGCAGCTAGATTATTGGAACATAAAAATTTAGGCAGACAAAGAATAACTGATCCTGCTAAGTTAAATAACCTAGAAAAAAACTCAGCCATTACACAGTATTCTAAAATAGGGTGGGACAGGGTGACAGTATTAAAAAGTAACATAGTTAGGTGGAGAGAGAGCTTTGTTTATTGACTCAACACCGCACATGTGCAATCAGAATGACGCAATGCTTATCGGAGATATGTAAAGTGGCAACAAACAACAAAGAGGATTTGAATACATTAAGATAGCTGTACAGAATACAGTGCGTCGGTGGCATAGCGGTTAAGACGCTCGCCGACCATGCACATGGTCCGGGGTTCAATCCCGGATAATTAATGATACTTACGTAATCGCAAAACAGAAAGAGAGAAAATATATGTAAGACAAATTTTGAAACCGTGTGACTAAGCTTATATGATTTTGAGCAATAATTTATGCTCGACATGTCATCCAGTTGTTAATACTTCATCAGTGTCATATTTAAAATAAACTTTTGCAGTATGGTTGAATTATTCTCTCTCGAATCAGCACATAGAAAATTCAAGTGTTGGTTTGCAGGGATTTGATTGGTTTAGGATTTCATCATGAACTGACATTGGTTTGAGAACCACTGGAAAACCTGCGAGTACTAGGTAGCTATTTCGTCCTAGTTTGGGACTCTTTAGCAAAACACACCCACTAGGGATCCAGTCCAGGTCCTTCTGGTTACAAGGCAAGCTCGTAGACCATTAGGCCACTAGGACCCGATCCAATGATCACCTGATGAATTGCAACCTCTGCCAATTCATGACATAGTGCGACCACTAGCCAATGTCATCAGTGAGTATTTGTCCTCATACCCCAATTCCAGGTTTTCCAATGGTTCTGAAACCGATGTCAGTTCACGATGAAAACATCGAGAACTATTCTGTAAGTGTGAGCGTTTACGACTGAGTAGTCTCACAGGAAGGAAGCAATTGTCCGATTCCACTCAGTTATTATCTGTCAACCTATATAGAATGACTAAACAGTTACATGTAGCTCCTAATCAGTAAGCTTCATGAAAACTACCTGAACAAAAGTGTCAGTCGTTTAGAAGTATTAACAAATAAGCCAAAGTTAAAAGACACACCAAAAGTGCACTAAGTGAATTCCTCTTTCTTTTTATTGTAGATATTTAAATCGTTTTCTTAACTAAAGTTTTAAGGCGTAAGTAAACATTGAAAAGTATTGATTACCGAGAAAAGT